AGATGTTGACAGGGTACTATTAGGTCTAGGGTTGGATCTGTCAAGGTGGGCATGGAGAACGCAGTTAAAATCACCACCCAATACCAATTTATAGGTATTGAGGTCAGGGAGAGCTGAAAAGAAGTTTATGAAAAACTATGAGTCATCCCAATTCGGTCCATAGATGTTAGCCAATATTAAAGGAGTATTAAACAACCTGCCAACTGCAACAATATATCTACCGTTGGGATCAGATATTATTTCAGAGAGTTCAAAAGATATCCCCTTTCTAATTAAAATTGCTGTGCCCCTGGTTTTGTAATCAAAACGTGAATGATACACTTGTCCAATCCAACTGCATCTTAGTCTCTTTTGGGAGTTAATATTCAGATGTGTTTCCTGCAGAAACATCACATCCGGCTTCAATGATTTTAAATGGGCAAATATTTTACTCTGTTTCACCATGTTATTTAGGCCTTTGACATTCCAGCTGATGAAAGAGAATGCACCTTGTTGTTTGTCTACAGCATCAGGAGCCATAACTCTGCCACTGGATACATGGTCTGGACTTGAAAGCTGGCAAAATCTGAACACATATGTGCAATCTTGGGTTAAGGCATGAAACAATAGAAAAACAAAAAAATACCATAAAACAGACAAAAGCTAAAAAGGTAACAAATAAACTCTTACCATCCTGGATCCCTGGGCTGGTCTTCTTAAAACCTGAGACTGCCCTACAAACACTCATCCTACTCTTAGGCATATAACACGTCAAGACTAGCCTAAACTCTCAACTGAACTGTGCAAGGGCAGAACAATATGAATTTAAATGAAACATGGCCCCTCTCATAGCACCGACATTGCTGCACTTATGTGGTCATAACTTGAAACAGCCTTAAATACCTACAGTTGGGATACACAAACAGCTATAACTTAAGAAAATCTGCATTGTTGTCATTTCCCTGACTCATCATTGTCCATAGTCCACACATAAAGCGCAACCAACTGTAGTGTAATTAACAGTCAAACATTTAGTCACTGTGACACAGGCTGTGACATTATCCTGCAGCTCCAACAGTACCTGTCATGGCCCCAATATTGATTATCACTCTCCCTCCGGGTCCCGCGGGTGCAAATCCGTCTCAATGTAGTGCTTTGCCTTGGTTGGGTCTTCAAATGACTTTTGCTCACCAGCTGAGGTTGTGATTTTAAGTGTGGCTGGATACACAAGACCATACTTCACACCAGGGCATCTGCGCAGCAGCCCCCGGACCTCAGTAAAGGCCGCCCTCCTTTTCCTCACCGAGAGCGTGTAGTCCGGGTAGATGTAGAAACGCTTGCCGTTGTGGAAGATGGGCCCCGCTCACATGGCTTTCCGTATAATATCTGCTTTCTCCTGAAAGTAGTGGAATTTAATGATGATCGGCCTTGGGGCATCCCCATCAGCTGGTTTCGGCTGTAAGCCCCTATGTGCACGGTCAAGCGTCGGTGTGTAGTCCAGGCTCAGAGCATCCTGCAGTAGTTGAGCTATGGCTTTCTCTGGTCGAATATTTCCAGTCCCTTCCGCCACACCGATTAGTCGACAATTATCTCTCCGTTGTCGAGACTCTAGATCTTCGGTTTTGTCCACCAACCTGTTTACTTGTGAGGACAGCGTAGTAACTTTAGCCTCGAGTTCCACTACCCGGTTAGCATAGCAATTAGCCCCCTCCTCAAGGTCTTCAATGCGCGTTACGAAAGTTGCGTTCTCCTTCTTAACATCTTCAACAACCTTAGCAAACTCTGTGCGCACATTGCAAATTTCTGATCTTAAGTCCCTCGACAAGTTGTCTATTTTGGTGTGCAATTCACCTACAGCCGCCGTCACCGTTGAGTCGATGTTAGTTAGCACACACTGCTCAGTCTGCTTTAGGGCGACCATGATTGTCTGTGTATCCGACAGCGGCTCCGCCGACCCGGCCGTGACTTTCTCAGGCGAGTCCGTGGCGTTTGGGCCTGGCTTCGATCTTTGGCTCTTCGGCATTTTTTGAGAGTTTTATGTACAACCAAATCAAAACACGGTCACTTTTAGATAGCTGAACACTTTAGAGACACATTTGCCCCACGGGAGCGAGAAAAGAGGCGAAAATAACTTTTTAAATGTTCTTTCCAAGCAGAGCTCAGAAAACTGCGTCCTCACATGTCGCTGCTCCTACGTCACCCCCCTAACCATGTTTTTAAGTTAGATTTAAATAAACTGCAGGTGTTTTGTTCTCTAATCGTTACTGGGATTGAGTTCCACTGTTGTGCAGCTTTAAAAAGAAAAAGAAGATTGGCTGAATGAACTCTTCCTTAATGGAACAACGCAGTCTCCTCTTGTTGCAGCTCTTGTTGACCTAGTTACAGGTGTGTGTATGGTGATAAAATGTCTGAGCGGAGGTGAGGTAAGGCCGTGTATTATTTTGTACATGAGGCAAGCATTTGCATATCTAATTACATTTTCCCAGCTCAACAAGTTGTATTTTGTGAGTATTGGGCAATGATGAGAATAAACTGATTTCTTATCTACTATTTTAAGTGTTTGTTTGCATAATGATTCCAGGGGTTTAAGAGTGGTTGTACCGGCATGTGAGCAGGCAGTATGTGATGTGAGATAGAACCATAGAGTGCATGTACATCTGTTGACATGCAGTCTCTGGTAAACCTCAAATTTGACAGACTGAATTTGACCCTGTTGCAAACCTTTTTCACCTGAGCCTTAAAATTGAGTCTTGAATCAATTAAGACCCCCAGGTATTTGTACTGTGAGACCACCTGTAGCCTCTCCCCGGACACAAACACATTTTATCACGTTGCATGCCAATTAGTGCAAAGATGTGTCATTTAAATAAAAAAAACAGCTTAAAACAAACCAATTAATAGTCTTTGATTTAAGAGAAAGATTTTTAATCAAGCAATATTCATATATAAATAAACCAATAATAACTACACCACTTTAAATGTTTTGCTTTTAACTTTAATGAATGGTTTTGTTTAAAAAAGTGAGGTAATTCAACTTTTAAATGTTTTCCATGTGTATGGGGGACAGAAGACAAAGAGGTTCTAGAAACAGATAACGTACAGATGCTGAGACTCTACCTTGTAGTTTTGCTGAATCTTCAGTGATCACAGAAGCTGTCGTAGTGAAACCTGATCTGGAGTTGCTCTCTGTTGTTGTTGTTGTTGTGTCCTCACCTGAACAGATGAAAAAAGATCAACAAATGTTTCACTAGCAAACTGTCTTATGGGTAAAATATATTGTGTTGTCATAATAAAGCTTCAAATCATTAAATAAGTAAAAATATATAAGTGAATGACGTTTAAACAGCTGATTCCCACCTGAGGACTGAAGACTGAAGGTCTGCACTTTGTCACCATCTGTTACTGCACAAGTAAACATCTTAGAACTTGATGTGTAACTAAAATGAGAAGTCAGAAATGTCACAGAGGCAGAGCAGAAAGACTTTGATGTCTTTATATCTCTGTTATCTTCATCCACATCTCGACCCTGAAGCAGCCACTTCACTGTGTGTCTACACCCTCCATATATCAACACAGAGCAGTCTAGTGTCACCTCATCATTGTTCGGATGCTCAGTCACTGAAGATGGAGATATTGTGAGAGAAAGAAAACAAGAGTAACATTAACTTCATCACTGTAATCATAATTATTGTAATGTTTTAGTATTTTGCTCTACAGAGAAAGTTTGGAAACATTATGATGTAAATACTCACTGGTAACAACAGACAAAGGAACCTGAAAGTCTGAACCTTGCTGTTGATTTACTTTGTTGTACTGTCTGCAGGTGTATTGACCAGCATCCTCCTCTGTGACCTTCTTTATAACCAGAGAACAATTCTCTGTAACTCTCAGTCTGTCTGATTTAGCATGGTTACCAATCTGCCCACCACTAACCAGCACTACTGCTCTTCCTGAATCACTTAAGAACCAGGTAGTACCATCACATTCATCCAGATCATGTGCAACACTGTTACACGGCAAAGTGGCTTCATCTCCACCTCTGACAGAGAGGGATCGGAATCTCTGTCCAATTGCAGCCCCTGAATAAACGAGAGAGAAATATAAAGAATAAAGAGAAATAAAAATGTTCATTTAAGATACAACAAAAGTTTCCCTATGTGTCTAAAAGTTGCCTTCCCCTCGTTGGAAGACAAACAGACCACTTCTCTGTCTTGGTTAAAAGGAGGTTAGGTAATAAAGTAACATTCATGATGACTAAATTACATTTTTTAATGTTTCTAAATATATACATGTTTTAGGAATCCTTACCTGTAAACTGAAGCAGCAGAATAAGAAGTGAAGACATTTTAATCCGTTTTAACTCGGCCATCGTGTCTCTTGTATTCGTGTAAGTCTCTAGACTGGCTGCCTCTTAAAGAGAAATGTTGAATGTACTTCCTAATATTAAAAATGTGTCACTTCCTCAAAGTAGCTGCGTCTTCTTTTCTCTTCTACGTTTATTATTAATTCGACTCTCAGCATCGACTCAGTCAAGATGAGCGCATGTCACTTCCTGTGGGTTTACTGTAATAACATTCATATTAAAAACATAACCATATCAGCACATTTTCATCTATATCGTTTTACCAGCGGAGGGATGATACCAAGAATATTTAGTAAATCACATTAAAGGTACTTGTAATTCACTTGTACCAGATTAGAAATCACATCTCCTTCCTGTCCAGTGGAAAACACGTATTTCATTATTGGTGATATATTTGTTTTAAACTCATGACAAACTTGACTGTTTAGAGTTACAGTACATGGTTGTCAAAGGACAAAGCTACAAACATGATGATATTATAGAATATGATGCATTGCTGTAGATGAAATATCCAACAATCACAAAAAGGCGGGAAAACACAAAGACAGGAAGTGACGTCAGAGATGACACAAGGACAGTGTTTTACAAAATAAAACAGGAAATACAAAGAGCAAGATCATGATAAAGACACTGTTAGCAGGAACCACAGAACACAGTGTAGAATTAAGATTAACATTTATTTATTTGCAGATTATATTGTTGTATCAGATATAACAAAGATAAAACGTACTTTCTACATTAATGCTGAAAACCCATTCAATCACATGGACATCAAAACACATGTTAACAGAATGAAAAGGATCAAAATGATAATTCTGAACACATAGATATTCAAATGAGCTCAAGCTGCTGTAGTTTCAATAACAATCAATACATTTTAAAATCAGCTCTGAGACTTTCAGCTGGAAGACAATATAAGAAAGGAAACAAGAGTTAAAAGCTCTTTACAGTGACATCCAGTGGTTTATTAGATCAAGACTAAAATGAAATAATATGTAATTCAGAATGATTGTATAATCTTCCACTCCTGAGGTGAAACATGATGATAGAGGTAGACGTTGTTGATCAGTGGAGTCTGATGGAGGCAGAAGTGTTGCTCAAACTCCATCAGGAGGTCTGATGTTTTCATAGATCACTGTACCATCATCTACATCATAACGCACCTGTGGAAAATCATAACGACTCTGAGTTGGTTACAAAGGAAGAAAACACAGTTCACAGTTTAATCAGCAGACCCTGAACGCACCATCAGTTACCGTCTGATCTGATTTAATCTGACTGACTTCTGGACAGTTTGCTTTGGAACTACATTTTATTCTGCAAATTAGTCACGGTAATAGGGACGTTATTTCAAAACTATCAGCATTGCTTTGGGAAGGCAAGGCAAGTTCATTTATACAGCACATTTCAACACAAGGTAATCCAAAGTGGTTTATAAAAATGAAAAACATCAGGAGCATTACGAAACAGTGCTGCAGTTAAAGAGAAGAGGCCCCAGGATGGAGCCTTGAGGAACCCCACATGTCAAAACTACATTTGTCATATTTGACAAATATGACTTAAAACCACTATAGGTAAAGTGAGAAAATCCAGTACATTATGATGTAATGTAGGGGAATTAGTCCTTTAATCTGAATTCATGTTCAGTTGTTACTGACACTGTCAAAGAGGTGTTGATTCAGATCTATGGTATCTTTGGAGGCTGTAGTTTGTGTCTGTAATGAACTGCATTATATTGTGTATCCATGTTTATCAAACTTTTGCATCCACTTCACTTTTGCTGTTTATTTATGTCTTCTTCTATATCTACAGTTTATAATTAAGAGAGAGTAAAAACAGTTCAGTATTTGGTTGTAAAAACTCACAGTGATTTCATCCATCTGTGTTTTCTTCTCTGAAAAGATAAAACAAATAGTCGACTTGAGTTTCTACAATAAAAAATCCAGTTTTATTCAAAGTAAATTCTTAAGTTTGATCTGTGAATGTTCTCACCTTTAGTTCTTGTCCATATGTTGACCGCCACAACAATTATTATGAGAGCTGCTAAACCCACAGACACGATGAAGGGCCTCCACCAACCTGGAAAATAATAAAAGCATAACAAATATTTTGTTGAAGATTTTAAGTTTCAAAAAAGGAGATTTTAAGACGAAGACAAGCAGATTAAAAAAATATCTTCTTAAAAGTATTTGACTTGAGGGAATTACTTGTACTCTTGCATTGTTCAAATATATACATCAATAAGGATTACCTAGACCTCTTTCCATGTTTTACTCTCATCTACAATGAAAGGTCAGTATCACTTTGTCAGAAAATGAATCATCTATTTTGGGTAATTATTCATGTCAGTTAGAATCAACTTGTTCTCACCTGAGGACTGAGGCCTGAAGGGAAACAACTGCACTTGTCCTGTTTTGGATTCAGTTATTTTGCAAGTGAAAAAACTTAAACCTAAACCACTTCTGACTTCTCTAAAGAGAGAAGTCAGAAATGTCACAGAGGCAGAGCAGATAGACTGTGATGTCTTTATATCTCTGTTTTCTTTATCAACATCTTGACCCAGAAGAAGCCACTTCACTTTGTGTATACACCCTCCATATGTCGTCACAGAGCAGAGTAACGTCACCTCATCATTGTCCTGATGTTCAGTCACTGAAGATGGAGATATTGTGAGAGAAAGACAACAATAGTACAAAAAACGTCATCACTGTAATCATAATTATTGTAATGTTTCAGTGTAGACGTCTAACCATAGAGTTTGGAAACGTTATGATTTGAATACTCACTGGTAACAACAGACAGAATAACCAGAGAGTTTGGACCATCTTTCTCAGATCTGATCTGTCTGCAGGTGTAAGTACCAGCATCCTCCTCTGTGACCTTCTTTATAACCAGAGAACAATTCCCTGAGACAATCAATCGGTCTGATTTAGCATTTGTACCAATCTGCCCACCTTTTACTAGCTCTACAGTGCTTGCTGAAGCAGCAAAGGTCCAAGTAGTATCGTAACATAGGACTGGAAAAAGTTTCACATAGTTACACAACAACATGGCTTCATCACCAACTCTGACAGAGAGGACGAGTCTAGTTGCAGCGCCTGAATAAACGAAAGAGACATGCAAAGTGTGAAGATCATTAAAGATACAACAAAATATTTTGTGTGTGTAAAGTCGCCTTCCCCTCGTTAGAAGACAAACAGACTACTAGTCTGTCTGCTGAGGGTTACTTATAAATAAAGTGATGGTAATGATAATAGAACACTCGTTTTTTTTTAATGTTTTTGTTAGTCATACACACATGTTGGAAATCTTAATAGGAATCCTTACCTGTAAACTGAACATTATCTACATTTAATCACGTTGAACGCAAATCAGTGCAAAGATGTGATGTTATTTCTCGTGAAAATGTGTTTCATCATTTTTAAAAAGCAGCTTAAAGGTGGGGTAGGTAAGTTTGAGAAACCGGCTCGAGATACACTTTTTGTTATATTCCATGGAATGCTCTTAACATCCCGATAGCAATGAATATTTTAAGTGCTTTGACAAAAAATCCATACAAAAATGTCATCTGTGGAAGCCGTAGTACTGTAAAAAGCACGACCAATCATTTTAGCCGGCCCGGCTAAAATAACTGGATGGCCTACCTGCCTGTCAGCCTTCCATCTGTGCACAAACTTATCTCGTGCCCTCATTGGTCATGTGCACGTTCGTGTGTGTTGGAGGAGGTGCTCTATAAGGAAGTGGCAGATTTTCTCCGGTTGTGTATTTTCAAATTCTAGCGATCTCGAGCCGGTTTCTCAAACTTACCTACCCTACCTTTAAGACAAACCAATTTAAAGTCCTTGATTTAAGAGAAAGATTTTTAATCAATCAATATTCATATATAAATATATAAATCAATAATCATTTACTTGAATTTAAGACTAGTGTCGTTATAAAAGTGAGTTAATTAAACTAATTTCCATTAAGAAAACAAAGAATAACCTGTTGCATCTTCATTGATTACAGAAGTTGTCGTAGTGAAACCTGATCTGGTGTCGCTCTCTGTTGCTGCTGCTGTGTCCTCACCTGAACAGATGAACAAAGATCAACAAATGTTTAACTAGCAAACTGTCTTATGGGTAATTTATATTGTGATGTAATAATACAACTTCAAATAATTAAATAAGTACAAATATATGAGTTAATTAAGTCACTTTGATTGGCTCAACATGTTCTCACCTGAGGACTGAGGCCTGAAGGTCTGCACTTTGCCACCAGCTGTTACTTCACAAGAAAATAACTCAGACCTTGATGTGTTACTAAAATGAGAAGTCAGAAATGTCACAGAGGCATAGCAAAAAGACTTTGATGTCTTTATATATCTTTTTTCTTTATCCACATCTCGACCCTGAAGCCACTTCACTGTGTGTCTACACCGTCCATATGTCGCCACAGAGCAGAGTAACGTCACCTCATCATTGTCCTGATGTTCAGTCACTGAAGATGGAGATATTGTGAGAGAAAGACATCAAGAGTAACATTAACTTCAGCACTGTAATAATAATTATTGTTATGTTTTAGTGTAATCAGAGTATATGTTTTACCAGACAGTTTGGAAACATTATGATGTAAATACTCACTGGTAACAACAGACAGCTCAACCAAAGAGTCTGGAACTTGTTGTCCTGATCTGATCTGTCTGCAGGTGTATTGACCAGCATCCTCCTCTGTGACCTTCTTTATAACCAGAGAACATTTCTCTGTAACTCTCAGTCTGTCTGATTTAGCATGGTTACCAATCTGCCCACCTTTAACCAGCATTACTGCACTTCCTGAATATCTGAAGATCCAGGTAGTACCATCACATTCATCCTGATCATGTGCCACATAGTTACACGGCAAAGTGGCTTCATCTCCAACTCTGACAGTGAGATAGAGGTATCGCTGTCCAAATGCAGCTCCTGCATAAACAAGAGAGAAATATAAAGAATACAGAGAAATACACACAACAAAAGTTTCCCTATGTGTCTAAAAGTTGCCTTCCCCTCGTTGGAAGACAAACAGACCACTTCTCTGTCTTGGTTAAAAGGAGGTTAGGTAATAAAGTAATATAAATGATGAATAAATTACCTCTGTGTTTCTAAATGTCATATACATGTTGTAGGAATCCTTACCTGTAAACTGAAGCAGCAGAATGAGAAATACAGACATTTTAATCTGTTGGAACTCATCCATCGTGATTCTCCGTCTCTCTGCTTCCTCTATCTCTTGTTCTGATGAAATGTTGATGAAATGTTCCTGAAACAATGCTTTAGCTGAGAGATGCTGCAACTCCTTCCTGTGTTAAGTATGATGCCTCCTCCTCAAAGTGAATTCATGTAACCGGTGTTGATTAGCGGTGTCTGCGTTGTGTTGATGTTGTTGAAGGATGAGACCCGAGCCAGCATACAGTCTCCGTTTAGTCACTGACAATATACAACACATCAGTATTCAATTAGTTATCCCTCACAATGACTGCTCTCACGTAGAACATTCACAAAAAGGGAAGAGGAAACATAGAACGTACCTGACAATATACAACAAATTAGTGTTCAATTAGTTATCCCTCACAATGACTGCTCTCACGTAAAACACATTCACAAAAAGGGAAGAGGAGAACGTGAGGGACACGATATGAAGGGGGGGAAGTCCCCACAAAAATAATCTTCTGTGTACAGTGACTGAATTTTGGAGGTTCAGCCCACTGATTCTAGACCAGTCAGGTATTGAACGTTTAATAAATGAATAACACAGAATTATTAAATACAAAACAAAGAATTTGTGTGATTATACTAAATGATTTATAAAGAAATATGTAACACTAAATACCACTGCATATTTACAACTGTTACATTTAGACTATTTGGGATGTTTGTTTTCTTCATTTCTTGTCGATCTCCAAACAGCCTAACATCTTTTGAAAGTGTTTTTTTCTATAATTCAAATGTTTCTCAACGTCTAGATTCAATATAATCCTGAAACAATCAAACTATTTTAAGGCTCAATTTCAGTCTTAAGTTTACACTGTTTCCAGTCCCACAATGCACTGCAGGTCAAACCAACGAAAAAATAACTAATGGACTGAGGAAGTTGCAGGTGTGAAGATTGTTAGTAGCAACTTGATTTACAATTTAGAGGTGATTCATGGGGGTGTTTTACAGCACACATGAACAGACAGGAGAAGAGATAAAGTAACCTGAGTAATGTTTCTGTGCTTTCTCGGGTCACTTTTGGTGCACTTCTGTCTTTATTCGTACACATTTGAGTGCTTGGTGACAACAGAGCTTTTATACCCAACAGAGGGAAGGCTCACTACTAGAAGTGGAGAAGAGGAAGGAGGTTGTTTTATAAGTAGAGGCACGATATTCATTGTATTTACTTTCCTTTAAAACTTAGTTAAGGAATCACAGAACACAGTGTAGGTCTAAGATAAACATTTATTTATTTGCACATATACACTATAGTAATTAGGACTCAATTAATGCTGAAAACTCATATGTTATGTTAACAGCAACGCTAAATGAAAGTGGACTAAAATAAGTTATTCTGCACACAGATATATTAAACTGAGCTAAATCTGCAGTAGCTTCAACAACAAGCAATACATCTTAAAATCAGCTCTGAAACCTTCAGCTGGAAGACAATATGAGAAAGTAAACAAGCGTTAAACAATCATTCCTGTTAAACTGAGTCAAAATCCAGCTGTGTAATGTCATAAATTATACAATAGATAACTGAAAATGATTATATAATCTTCCACTCCTGATGTGAAACATGATGATAGATGTAGACGTTGTTGATCAGTGGAGTCTGATGGAGGCAGAAGTGTTGCTCAAACTCCATCAGGAGGTCTGATGTTGTCATAGTTCACTGTACCATCATCTACATCATAACGCACCTGAGGAAAAACAACAACCACTCTGACTTGGTTTAAGCACGTAAAATGATTTAAAAGTAACACAGTTCACAGTTTAGTCAGCAGACCCTGAACGTACCATCAGTGCATCCCTTCCTTCCTCCAAAAACCCTTGCACGCTCATCCTTCATTGCACACTTCCCTTCTTCCATTCATCCGTCTATCACTACATCCCTCCTTCCTGACATCCCTTTAAAAATGCTCTTAGATTCTTCATCCCTCCTCTCTCTAGATCCATCCATTCTCTCTGTAATCCATTGATCCCTTGCAACCCTTCCTCCCTACATACCTTCGACCCTTCATCCCTCCTCCTTCCCTATATCCATCTTTCCCTAAATCCTCTTCATCCCTTTCATCCCACCCCTCATCCCTTTAAACCTTTCATCCCTAATTCCCTTTGTCCCTTCATCCTTTTATCCCTCACTATACCTACATCCCTTCAACCACCCCTCAATTCTTTGAAAACTTCTCCCTACTGTTGAGATCTCCATATTAGGTTGAATAATTAAAATGAAAGTTAATTATAATCAAATATAATCAATTATATTCTTGGATAACCCACAATGAAAATGCTTCATATTTTATGATTTTCTATATTTACAGTATAAACAAAACACAAGTGGTTTGTTAAATTGAGTGTGTAAGGCCTATTATGGTTTATGGGTGTCACTGATAAGAGAGGAGAGACAGTTTCTTCCCTCTTCCCTCACAGCAGTACACAGGGAGGGGGGCTCCTGACTTAAGGAGAAATAGACTGAGGCCCCAAAAAGGTGTTTGTGTCATAGCCGAGAATAATATTTTGCAAGTCCTGCAGAGTAGGGGTCATGACCTTTTTACACAAACATGGGAAGGTGTGTCTTATGCCATAGCCATAGACTATGTCCGGTGATGTCCAGTCCTGTACATCAGAGGCCATGCCCAGTTTCCACAAATATGGGTATGGAGGAGGTGTCTTTAGGTTTTTCTATCCTGTTTTTGAGCATAAAGACACTGGCGGAGAGGGAGCAAACGAGAGAGAGAGAGAGAGAGAGAGAGAGAGAGAGAGAGAGAGGGGGGGGGGGGGGGGTTCCCTGGTATACCCTCTCCCGGTAAGCTCTCTCCCTGGAGAGCTGGGTTTTCGCCTCGGTAAGGTTCTCTCAAACTTGGTAACTATTGCTTAAATCTCTGTGTATTGAATGCTGAGTGAATGGTTGGATGAACGTTTAAAAAACTAGAAATCGAACTGATCATTCTGAGGAGCTGCCTCTTAATGTGTCAGGCTATAGGCTGTGGATGTTAGCACCTTCGATCCGTGAGGAGATTCCTTTGGATTCTGTCGGAATTCAAACTGATCATTTTGAGGGGAATTCTAAACTGATTATTCTGAGGAGCTGCCTCTGAATGTGTCAGGCTATAGGGTGTGGATGTTACCCCGGCGATCTGTGAGGAAATTCCTTTGGATTATGTCGGAAGACCTTTAATGTCTAAACTATGAATTAAGGTTTTAGATTAGAAAATGACCCCAGCATGATATGTTTAGAATGATATAATGTTGTAACGAGAAGAAGGTAAAAAACCCTGTATAAGTTTGGACCATTTTTCTTCAAATAAACTGATCCCACCTTTTGGACTGGGACAACTTAAAAGACATCTGCGCTCTCCTCTCCTGCTTGAAAGGTAAGATTGCACCACTGCCACACTCACAATTAGGTAGGGCCACACCTCATTTTAACTGATATCAAAATCCTTCGGGATCGCTTAAACAGATTTTAGCGGGTCGTCTGAATTGAAATAGCAGTTAATTGAACCTGGTTCTTCAGGGAGTTAATAGAGGTGAGATCTTGCTGACGTTGGTGGATCTGAGCCAAGCAAGCAAACTTACATAGAATCAATGACTTCTGTTAGGTCAATTAGTAGGTCTGAGTAATTGCCAGAATAAATTATCAGCCCTCCCGACTCCTACACTACATCCCTTCATCCCTTAATCCCTCTCTCTGAACATCCCTTCATCCTCTCTCCCAGTCTCCCCTCATCTCTTTCTATTTAAGTTTGATCTGATTCAACTGTTTACTGTCAAAACGTTTGTCTTCTTATCCATAAAACTTACAATGTTTTCATCCGTCTGAGGTCTCTGTCCTGCAGAGGCAAAAGAGCATCAATGTAATCTTCCATAGTTAAAATCCAAGTTCATCAAAAGCTTCTTGTTTGTAAAGTATAATGTGTGAATGTCCTCACATTGAGTCCTCTTCCGTCTGATGACAGCCACAGTGATTATTGTGAGTGCTGCAACCCCCACGATCACAACGATGATCCACCACCACCAACCTGGACAAGGAATTCAAATCATAACATTTAGAATTAATAAAAAAGTACTTTTTGTTGATGATTCAGTTTTTTCAGGTGTTTGTGTAACGGATTAACAAAACTCAACAAATCTTTAGTAGCTAAACATGTTCTCACCTGAGGACTGAAGGCTGAACGTTATCTAAATGTAATCACGTTGAACGCAAATCAGTTCAAAGATGTGATGTTATTTCTCGTGAAAATGTATTTCCTCATTTTAAAAAAGCAGCTTAAGACAAACCAATTAAAAGTCTTTGATTTAAGAGAAAGATTTTTAATCAATCAATATTCATATATAAATCAATACATCAAATGCATTTACTTTAATTTAAGACTAGTGTCGTTATAAAAGTGAGTTAATTAAACTAATTTCCATTAAGAAAACAAAGAATAACCTTTTGCATCTTCAGTGATCACAGAAGCTGTCTTAGTGAAACCTGATCTGGTGTCGCTCTCTGTTGCTGCTGTGTCCTCACCTGAACAGATGAACAAAGATCACAAATAATTCACTTGCAAACTGTTTCATGGGTAATTTATATTGTGATGTAATAATAAAACTTCAAATCATTAAATAAGTAAAAATATATGAGTTAATTAAGTCACTTTGAATGGATCAACATGTTTCTCACCTGAGGACTGAAAGCTGATACGTTATCTACATTAATCACGTTGAACGCAAATCAGTGCAAAGATGTGATGTTATTTCTCGTGAAAACGTATTTCCTCATTTTTAAAAGGCAGCTTAAGACAAACAAATTAAAAGTATTTGATTTAAAGGTGGGGTAGGTAAGTTTGAGAAACCGGCTTGAGATACACTTTTCGTTATATTCCATGGAATGCTCTTAACATCCCGATAGCAATGAATATCTTAAGTGCTTTGACAAAAAATCCATTAAAAAATGTCATCTGTGGAAGCTGTAGTACTGTAAAAAGTACGACCAATCATCTGAGCCGGCCCGGCTAAAATAACTGGATGGCCTACCTGCCTGTCAGCCTTCCATCTGTGCACAAACTTATCTTGTGCCCTCATTGGTCATGTGCGCGTTCGTGTGTGTTGGAGGAGGGGCTCTGTAAGGAAGTGGCAGATTTTCTCCGGCTATGTATTTTCTAATTCTAGCGATCTCGAGCCGGTTTCTCCAAAATTACCTACCCAACCTTTAAGAGAAAGATTTTTAATCAATCAATATTCATATATAAATATACAAATCAATAATCATTTACTTCAATTTCAGACTAGTGTTGTTATAAAAGTGAGTTAATTAAACTCATTTCCATTAAGAAAACAAAGAATAACCTGTTGCATCTTCAGTGATCACAGAAGCTGTCGTAGTGAAACCTGATCTGGTGTCGCTCTCTGTTGTTGCTGCTGCTGTGTCCTCACCTGAATAGATCAACAAAGATCAACACATTTTTTACTTGCAAACTGTCTTATGGGTAATTTATATTGTGATGTAATAATAAAACTTCAAATCATTAAATAAGTAAAAATATATGAGTTAATTAAGTCACTTTGAATGGATCAACATGTTCTCACCTGAGGACTGAAGGCTGAAGGGAAACACCTGCACTTCTCCTGTTTTGGATTCAGTTACTTCGCAAGTGAAAAACTTGAACCTTGTTGTGTAACTAAAGAGAGAACTCCGATATGTCACAGAGGCAGAGCAGGAAGTCTGTGATGTCTTTAAATATCTGTTCTCTTTATCCACATCTTGACCCTGATGCCACTTCACTTTGAGTATACACGGTCCATATATCGCCAGAGAGCAGCGTAACGTCACCTCATCATCGTCCTGATGTTCAGTCACTGAAGATGGAGATATTGTAAGAGAAAGACAACAATAGTACAAAAAACGTCATCACTGTAATCATAATTATTGTAATGTTTCAGTGTAATCAGTGTATACGTCTAACCATAGAGTTTGGATTTGGAAACATTATGATTTGAATACTCACTGGTAACAACAGGCAGAAGAACCAGAGAGTTTGGAACATCAATCTCTGGTCTGATCTGTCTGCAGGTGTAAGTACCAGCATCCTCATCTGTGACCTTCTTTACAACCAGAGAACAATTCCCTGAGACAATCAATCTGTCTGATTTAGCATTTTTACCAATCTGCCCACCTTTAACCAGCTCTACAGTGCTTGCTGAATCAGCAAAGGTCCAAGTAGTATCGTAACATTGGAGTTTTAAAGGTTTCACATCGTTACAAGGCAAAATGGCTTCATCACCAACTCTGACAGAGAGGGAGAGGAAACGCTGTCTGGTTGCAGCGCCTGAATAAACGAGAGAGACATGCAAAGTGTGAAGATCATTAAAGATGTAACAAAAGTTTTCATATGTGTAAAGTCGCCTTCCCCTCGTTAGAAGACAAACAGACTACTAGTCTGTCTGTTGAGGGTTAGTTATAAATAAAGTGATGGTAATGATAATAGAACACTCGTTTTTTTAAATGTTTTTGTTAGTCATACACACATGTTGGAAATCTTAATAGGAATCCTTACCTGTAAACTGAAGCAGCAGAATGAGAAATACAGACATTTTAATCTGTTTGAACTCATCCATCGTGATTCTCCGTCTCTCTGCTTCCTCTATCTCTTGTTCTGATGAAATGTTGATGAAATGTTCCTGAAACAATGCTTTAGCTGAGAGATGCTGCAACTCCTTCCTGTGCTAAGTATGATGCCTCCTCCTCAAAGTGAATTTATGTAACCGGTGTCGATTAGCGGTGTCTGCGTTGTGTTGATGTTGTAGATGGATGAGACCCGAGCCAGCATACAGTCGAGGCGATCTCTGTTTAGTCACTGACAATATACTGTCAGTGTTAAATTAGTTATCCCTCACAATGACTGCTCTCACGCAGAACATTCACAAAAAGGGAAGAGGAAACGTAGAACGTACCTGACAATATACAACAAATTAGTGTTCAATTAGTCATCCCTCACAATGACTGCTCTCACGTGAAACACATTCACAAAAAGGGAAGAGGAAACGTAGAACGTACCTGACAATATACAACAAATTAGTGTTCAATTAGTTATCCCTCACACTGACTGCTCTCACGTGAAACACATTCACAAAAAGGGAAGAGGAAACGTAGAACGTACCTGACAATATACAACAAATTAGTGTTCAATTAGTTATCCCTCACAATGACTGCTCTCACGTGAAACACATTCACAAAAAGGGAAGAGGAAACTTAGAATGTACCTGACAATATAAAACAAAATCAGTCGTTATTAAAAAAAAAAATGTCCCTCTCACCAACTCTTCTCATGTGGAACATTCACAAAAAGGGAAGAAGAGAACGTGAGGGACACGCTATGAAGGGGGGGAAGTCCCCACAAACATAATCTTCTGTGTACAGTGACTGAATTTTGGAGGTTCAGCCCACTGATTCTAGACCAGTCAGGTATTGAACGTTTAATAAATGAATAACACAGAATTATTAAATACAAAACACAGAATTTGTGTGATTATACTAAATGATTTATAAAGAAATATTTAACACTAAATACCACTGCATATTTACAACTGTTACATTTAGACTATTTGGGATGTTTGTCTTCATTTCTTGTCGATCTCCAAACAGCCTAACACCTTTTAAAGCGTTTTTTCTATAATTCAAATGTTTCCCAACGTCTAGATTCAATATAATCCCAAAACAATCAAATTATTTTAAGGCTCAATTTGAGTCTTAAGTTTACACTGTTTCCAGTCCCACAATGCACTGCAGGTCAAACCAACGAAAAAATAACTAATGGACTGAGGAAGGTGCAGGTGTGAAGATTGTTAGTAGCAACTTGATTTACAATTTAGAGGTGATTCATGGGGGTGTTTTACAGCACACATGAACAGACAGGAGAAGAGATAAAGTAACCTGAGTAATGTTTCTGTGCTTTCTCGGGTCACTTTTGGTGCACTTCTGTCTGTATTCGTACACATTTGAGTGCTTGGTGACAACAGAGCTTTTATACCCAACAGAGGGAAGGCTCACTACTAGAAGTGGAGAAGAGGAAGGAGGTTGTTTTATAAGTAGAGGCATGATATTCATAGTATTTACTTTCCTTTAAAACTTAGTTAAGGAATCACAGAACACAGTGTAGGTCTAAGAAAAATATTTATTTATTTGCACATTTACAGTATAGTAATTAGGACTCAATTCATGCTGAAAACTCATATGTTATGTTAACAGCAACGCTAAATGAAAGTGGATTAAAATAAGTTATTCTGCACACAAAGATATTAAACTGAGCTAAATCTGCAGTAGCTTCAACAACAAGCAATACATCTTAAAATCAGCTCTGACATTTTCAGCTGGAAGACAATATAAGAAAGTAAACAAGCGTTAAAAACTCATTCCTGTTAAACTGAGTTAAAATCCAGCTGCGTAATGTCATAATTTGTACAATAGATAACTGAAAATGATTGTATAATCTTCCACTCCTGATGTGAAACACGATGATAAGATGTAGACGTTGTTGATCAGTGGAGTCTGATGGAGGCAGAAGTGTTGCTCAAACTCCATCAGGAGGTCTGATGTTGTCATACTTCACTGTACCATCATCTACATCATAACGCACCTGAGGAAAACAACAACAACTCTGACTTGGTTTAAGCACGTAAAATGATTTAAAAGTAAACACAGTTCACAGTTTAGTCAGCAGACCCTGAACGCACCATCAGTTCATCCCTTCCTCCCAAAAACCCTTGCACGCTTCATCCTTCATTGCCCACTTCCCTTCTTCCATTCATCCGTCTATCACTACATCACTCCTTCCTGACATCCCTTTAAACATCCCTTCAATCCAGTGGCGAGCCGTGAGCTTTATACCTAGGCCCTCTGACCCCCACCCCTTCCCTCGAAAAAAAGAAAAAAAAAGAGTTATTACGTCACAGCGTATACTTCAGCGGAATATCAAAACAACGGCCCAGGGTGCAAAACGCATCAATGACAGCGACCCTCTACCACACAAAACAACACTTGTGAACCCAATTTGTGTTCTTTGACATTGAAAATGATATTGCATTGTGTTTGTTACTTTCGTTGCAGTTGTATGTCTTAAGTGTAATTTGGCATGCTTTTATTTTGAAGGCAAGTTCACGCTGTTGACAGGAAGTTGTTGTTGCTATGGAAACAAGAAAAGTTTCACAGCGGGCGGAACTCGTCATAAAGTCCGCGATAATAAAACCCACCCATTTAGAGGGAAGATATGATTGGTCAATTGTACTGTCATTTGACATTACTCTCGTTCAGTTACTATAGCGGGCCCTCTGTGAATCGCAGAGAGGCCCGCTATAGTAACCCACATTCAAACAGAGACTGAACAGGCAGATTCGAAGGATTTATTTCTTTGGAAATGTTATTTTATTAAATCAAGTTTTTTTTCGGTAAAACTAATGAAAAATATAACAAAAATAATATTAAAAAAATATATATTTAAAAAAAATATATATTTTTTTAATGTTTTTAAATATTATTTTTGGAATATCTTAGGCCCTCACAGAGGGCCTAGAGGGCCCTGACGGCTCGCCACTGCTTCAATCTTTCATCCCTTTAAACATCTCTTAGATTCTTAATCCCTCCTCTCTCTACATCTCTTCATACATTCATCCCTTCTCTCTGTAATCCATTGATCCCTTCTCTCTGTAATCCATTGATCCCTTCAACCCTTCCTCCCTACATACCTTCGACTCTTCATCCCTCCCTCCTTCCCTATATCTATCTTTCCCTAAATCCCTTCATCCCACCCCCTCATCCCTTTAAACCTTTCATCCCTAATTCCCTTTGTCCCTTCATCCTTTTAAACCTCACTATACCTACATCCCTTCAACCACCCCTCAATTCTTTGGAAACTTCTCCCTACTGTTGAGATCTCCATATTAGGTTGAATAATTAAAATGAAAGTTAATTATAATCAAATATAATCAATTATATTCTTGGATAACCCAACAATGAAAATGCTTCATATTTTTATGATTTTCTATATGTACAGTTATAAACAAAACACAAGTGGTTTGTTAAATTGAGTGTGTAAGGCCTATTATGGTTTATGGAGTCACTGATAAGAGAGGAGAGACAGTTTCTTCCCTCTTCCCTCACAGCAGTACACAGGGAGGGGGGCTCCTGACTTAAGGAGAACTAGGACTGAGGCCCCAAAAGGTGTTTGTGTCATAGCCGAGAATATATTTTGCAAGTCCTGCAGAGTAGGGCTCATGACCTTCTACACAAACAGGGAAGGTGTGTCTTATGCAATAGCCATAGACCTATGTCCGGTCATGTCCAGTCCTGTAACATCAGAGGCCATGCCCAGTTTCCACAAATATGGGTATGGAGGAGGTGTCTTTAGGTTTTTCTATCCTGTTTTTGAGCAATAAAGACACTGGCGGAGATGGGAGGCAAATGAGAGAGAAGAGAGAGAGGAGAGACGAGAGAGAGAGGAGAGAGGGGGGGGGGGGGGGGGGTTCCCCTGGTATACTCTCTCCCGGTAAAGCTCTCTCCCTGGAGAGCGGGTTTTTCGCCTCGGTAAGGTTCTCTCAAAACTTGGTAACTATTGCTTAAATCGTCTGTGTATTGAATGCTGAGTGAATGGTTGGATGAAAGTTTAAAAACTAGAACTTCTAACTGATCATTCTGAGGAGCTGCTCTTAATGTGTCAGGCTATAGGTGTGGATGTTAGCACCTTCGATCCGTGAGGAGATTCCTTTGGGATTATGTCGGAATTCTAACTGATTATTCTGAGGAGCTGCCTCTTAAATGTGTCAGGCTATAGGTTGTGGATGTTAGAACCTTCGATCCGTGAGGAGATTCCTTTGGATTCTGTCGGAATTCAATCTGATCATTTTGAGGAACTGCTTCTGAATGTGTCAGGCCATAGGGTGTGGATGTTACCCTGGCGATCTGTGAGGAAATTCCTTTGGATTATGTCGGAAGACTTTAATGTCTAAACTATGAATTAAGGTTTTAGATTAGAAAATGACCCCAGCATGATATGTTTATAATGATTATAATGTTGTAACGAGAGAAGGTAAAAACCCTATATAAGTTTGGACCATTTTTCTTCAAATAAACTGATCCCAACCTTTTGGACTGGGACAACTTCAAAAGACATCTGCGCGCTCCTCCTCTCCTGCTTGAAAGGTAAGATTGCACACTGCCCCACTCACAATTAGGTAGGGCCACACCTCATTTACGATATCAAAATCCTTCGGGATCGCTTAAAACAGATTTAGCGGGTCGTCTGAATTGAAATAGCAGTTAATTGAACCTGGTTCTTCAGGGAGTTAATAGAGGTGAGATCTTGCTGACGTTGGTGGATCTGAGCCAAGCAGCAAACTTACATGAATCAATGACTTCTGTTAGGTCAATTAGTAGGTCTGAGTAATTTGCCAGAATAAATGATCAGCCCTCCCGACTCTACAACTACATCCCTTCATCCCTTAATCCCTCTCTCTGAACATCCCTTCATCCCTCCTCCCAGTCTCCCCTCATCTCTTTCTATTTAAGTTGATCTGATTCAACTGTTTACTGTCAAAACGTTTGTCTTCTTATCCATAAAACTTACAATGTTTTCATCCGTCTGAGGTCTCTGTCCTGCAGAGGCAAAAGAGCATCAATGTAATCTTCCATAGTTAAAATCCAAGTTCATCAAAAGCTTCTTGTTTGTAAATTATAATGTGTGAATGTCCTCAACCTTGAGTCCTCTTCCATCTGATGACCGCCACAGTGATTATTGTGAGTGCTGCAACACCCCCACGATCACAACGATGATCCACCACCACCACCTGGACAAGGAATTAAAATCATAACATTTAGAATTGAATAAAAAAGTACTTTTTGTTGATGATACAGTTTTCAGGTGTTTGTGTAACGGATTAACAAAACTCACAAATCTTTAGTAGCTAAACATGTTCTCCACCTGAGGACTGAAGGCTGAACGTATCTAATGTAATCACGTTGAACGCAAATCAGTTCAAAGATGTGATGTTATTTCTCGTGAAAATGTATTTCCTCATTTTAAAAAAGCAGCTTAAGACAAACCAATTAAAAGTCTTTGATTTAAGAGAAAGATTTTTAATCAATCAATATTCATATATAAATCAATACATCAATATGCATTTACTTTAATTTAAGACTAGTGTCGTTAGTAAAAGTGAGTTAATTAAACTAATTTCCATTAAGAAAACCAAAGAATAACCTTTTTGCATCTTCAGTGATCACAGAAGCTGTCTTAGTGAAACCTGATCTGGTGTCGCTCTCTGTTGCTGCTGTGTCCTCACCTGAACAGATCAACAAAGATCAACAAATATTTCACTTGCAAACTGTTTCATGGGTAATTTATATTGTGATGTAATAATAAAACTTCAAATAATTAAATAAGTAAAAATATATGAGTTAATTAAGTCACTTTGAATGGCTCAACATGTTCTCACCTGAGGACTGAAGGCCTGAACGTTATCTTCATTTAAATCACGTTGAACGCAAATCAGTGCAAAGATGTGATGTTATTTCTCGTGAAATGTATTTCTCATTTTTAAAAGGCAGCTTAAGACAAACAAATTAAAAGTATTTGATTCAAAAGGTGGGGTAGGTAAGTTTGAGAAACCGGGCTCGAGATACACTTTTTGTTATATTCCAATGGAATGCTCTTAACATCCCGATAGCAATGAATATCTTAAGTGCTTTGACAAAAAATCCATTAAAAATATCATCTGTGGAAGCCGTAGTACTGTAAAAAGCACGACCAATCCATCTGAGCCGGCCCGGCTAAAATGACTGGATGGCCTACCTGCCTGTTCAGCCTTCCATCTGTGCACAAACTTATCTTGTGCCCTCATTGGTCATGGGTGCGTTCGTGTGTGTTGGAGGAGGGGCTCTGTAAGGAAGTGGCAGATTTTTTTCCGGCTGTGTATTTTCAAATTCTAGCGATCTTCGAGCCGGTTTCTCCAAAAATTACCTACCCCCACCTTTAAGAGAAAGATTTTGAATCAATCAATATTCATATATAAATATACAAATCAATAATCATTTACTTTAATTTCAGACTAGTGTTGTTATAAAAGTGAGTTAATTAAACTAATTTCCATTAAGAAAACAAAGAATACCTGTTGCAATCTTCAGTGATCACAGAAGCTGTCGTAGTGAAACCTGACGTGGTGTCGCTCTCTGTTGTTGCTGCTGTTGTGTCCTCACCTGAACAGATCAACAAAGATCAACACATTTTTTACTTGCAAACTGTCTTATGGGTAATTTATATTGTGATGTAATAATAAAACTTCAAATCATTAAATAAGTAAAAATATATGAGTTAATTAAGTCACTTTGAATGGATCAACATGTTCTCACCTGAGGACTGAGGCCTGAAGGGAAACACCTGCACTTCTCCTGTTTTGGATTCAGTTACTTCGCAAGTGAAAAACTTGAGCCTTGTTGTGTAACTAAAGACAGAACTCAGAAATGTCACAGAGGCAGAGCAGGAAGACTGTGATGTCTTTAAATATTTGTTTTCTTTATACACATCTTGAACCGGAAGCAGCCACTTCACTGTGTGTTTCCACCATCTACATGGCACCACAGAGCAGTTTAACGTCACCTCATCATTGTCCTGATGTTCAGTCACTGAAGATGGAGATATTGTGAGAGAAAGACAACAATAGTCCAAAAAACATCATCACTGTAATCATAATTATTGTAATGTTTCAGTGTAATCAGTGTATACGTCTAACCATAGAGTTTGGAAACGTTATGATTTGAATACTCACTGGTAACAACAGACAGATAAACCTGACAGTTTGGACCATCTTTTTCTGATCTGATCTGTCTGCAGGTGTAATAACCAGCATCCTCCTCTGTGACCTTCTTTATAACCAGAGAACAATTCTCTGTAACTCTCAGTCTGTCTGATTTAGCATTTTTACAAATCTGCCCACCTTTAACCAGCTCTACAGTGCTTGCTGAATCAGCAAAGGTCCAAGTAGTACCGTAACATTGGAGCTTAAAAGGTTTCACATAGTTACACGACAAAATGGCTTCATCACCAAATCTGACCGAGCGGGAGAGTAAAAACTGTCCGGTTGCAGCGCCTGAATAAACGAGAGAGACATGCAAAGTGTGAAGATCATTAAAGATACAACAAAAGTGTTCATATGTGTAAAGTCGCCTTCCCCTCGTTAGAAGACAAACAGACTACTAGTCTGTCTGCTGAGGGTTAGTTTATAAATAAAGTGATGTAATGATAATAGAACCTCGTTTTTTAAAATGTTTTGTTAGTCATACACACATGTTGGAAATCTTAATAGAATCCTTACCAGTAAACTGAAGCAGCAGAATGAGAAATACAGAATTTAATCTGTTGGAACTCATCCATCGTGATTCTCCGTCTCTCTGCTTCCTCTATCTCTTGTTCTGATGAAATGTTGATGAAATGTTCCTGAAACAATGCTTTAGCTGAGAGATGCTGCAACTCCTTCCTGTGTTAAGTATGATGCCTCCTCCTCAAAGTGAATTTATGGAACCGGTGTCGATTAGCGGTGTCTGCGTTGTGTTGATGTTGTTGAAGGATGAGACCCGAGCCAGCATACAGTCGAGGCGATCTCCGTTTAGTCACTGACAATATACTGTCAGTGTTAAATTAGTTATCCCTCACAATGACTGCTCTCACGCAGAACATTCACAAAAAGGGAAGAGGAAATGTAGAACGTACCTGACAATATACAACAAATTAGTGTTCAATTAGTCATCCCTCACAATGACTGCTCTCACGTGAAACACATTCACAAAAAGGGAAGAGGAAACGTAGAACGTACCTGACAATATAAAACAAAATCAGTCGTATTAAATTGTTTTTTTTCCTCTCACCAACTCTTCTCATGTGGAACATTCACAAAAAAGGGAAGAGGAGAACGTGAGGGACACGATATGAAAAATAATCTTCTGTGTACAGTGACTGCATTTTGGATGTCCCGCCCACCAACGTTTAATAAATAAAGAACACAGAATTATTAAATACAAAACAGAGAATTTGTGTGATTATACTAAATGATTTATAAATAAATATTTAACACAAACACCACTGCATATTTACAACTGTTACATTTAGACTATTTGGGATGTTTGTTTGTCTTCATTTCTTGTTGATCTCCAAACAGCCTAACATATTTTTAAAGCTTTTTTTTCTATAATTCTCAACGTCTAGATTCAATAACAATCAAAGTATTTTAAGGCTCAATTTGAGTCTTAAATGTTTCCAGTCCCACAATGCACTGCTGGTCAAACCAACAAAAAAAGAACTAAAGGACTGAGGAAGGTGCAGGTGTGAAGATTTTTAGCTAAGATTACCGTTTGCGGTAACGCAACTTGATTTACAATTTAGACGTGATTCATGTGGGTGTTTTACAGCACACATGAACAGACAGGAGAAGAGATAACCCTTAGATGCATAAGTGTGTCTTTTTTGACCCGGTGAGGTGGTTTTCTTAGAGTATCTTTGTAATTACATTTTTTTATCATTTCATATTCCAGCTATTCCTCAAAAAACATGTTTTGGATATCACGCCGTTAGAATTTTAAATGTACACTTTAAGAAATTGTAGTTTTTGTATTACTACCCCAAGCTTCCACAAGTGGGTCAAAAATGACCCGCATGCATTTTCTATGGAATTTCGTTTTTTTTTCAAAATGTAAAGAAAATGTCTAAAATTATAAATAGTGAAAAATTAAATATAGAATATTTCTAGTGTGAACCAAAATATAATACTAAATATTATACAAGTGATTTTTCTTAACCAAAATGACAAAAGTGGCATAAAAACACATATTATTCTAATACGGTTCCTTTTTGACCCACTTATGGAAGAGTGTAGGGTCCAGTCACTCGGGCATCTAAGGGTTACCTGAGTTATGTTTCTGTGCATTCTCGTGTCACTTTTGGTGCATTTCTTTGCTTGGCTTTTATACCCAACAGAGGGAAGGCTCACTACTAGAAGAGGAGGGAGGTTGTTTTATAAGTAAAAGCATGATATTCATAGTAATAATATAGTTTTAAAACTTAGTTAGTACATGAAGGAATCACAGAACACAGTGTAGGTCTAAGATAAACATGTCTTTATTGGCACATATACAGTATAGAAAACAGGACTCAATTAGATTAGACTCAATTAATGCTGAAAACTAATATGTTATGTTAACAGCAACGCTAAATGAAAGTGGACTAAAATAAGTTATTCTGCACACAGAAATATTAAACTGAGCTAAATCTGCTGTAGCTTCAACAACAAGCAATACATCTTAAAATCAGCTCTGAAACATAAGAAAGTAAACAAGCGTTAAAAACTCATTCCTGTTAAACTGAGTTAAAATCCAGCTGCGTAATGTCATAATTTATACAATAGATAACTGAAAATGATTGTATAATCTTCCACTCCTGATGTGAAACACGATGATAGATGTAGACGTTGTTGATCAGTGGAGTCTGATGGAGGCAGAAGTGTTGCTCAAACTCCATCAGGAGGTCTGATGTTGTCATAGTTCACTGTACCACCATCTACATCATAACGCACCTGAGGAAAACAACAACAACTCTGACTTGGTTTAAGCACGTAAAATGATTTTAAAGTAAACACAGTTTACAGTTTAGTCAGCAGACCCTGAACGCACCATCAGTTCATCCCTTCCTCCCAAAAACCCTTGAACGCTTCATCCTTCATTGCCCACTTCCCTTCTTCCATTCATCCGTCTATCACTACATCCCTCCTTCCTGACATCCCTTTAAACATCCCTTCAATCTTTCATCCCTTTATACATCGCTTAGATTCTTCATCCTTCCTTCTCTAAATCCCTTAATACATTCATCCCTTCTCTCTGTAATCCATTGATGCCTTCAACTCTTCATCCCTCTCTCCTTCCCTATATCCATCTTTCCTTAAATCCCTTCATCCCACCCCCTCATCCCTTCAAACCTTTCATCCCTAATTCCCTTTGTCCCTTCATCATTTTATCCCTCACTATACCTTCATCCCTTCAACCACCCCTCAATTATTTGAAAACTCCTCCCTTCATCCCTTAGTCCCTCTCTCTGAACATCCATCCCTCCCTACATCCCTTCATCCCTTCACCCCTTCATCCCTACATCCCTTAGTCCCTCTCTCTGAACATCCCTTCATCCTCTCTCCCAGTCTCCCCTCATCTCTTTCTATTTAAGTTTGATCTGATTCAACTGTTTACTGTCAAAACGTTTGTGTTCTTATCCATAAAACTTACAATGTTTTCATTCGTCTGAGGTCTCTGTACTGAAGAGGCAAGAGAATAAATCTTGAAGGAATGAGGGTGAAACTTTGAAACGATGGGATGTGTATAATGTGATGATGATTATGAGTGCTGCAACCCCCACGATCCCAACGATGATCCACCACCACCAACCTGGAAGAGGAATTCAAATCATAACATTTAGATTTGAATAAAAGAGTACTTTTTGTTGATGATACAGTTTTTCAGGTGTTTGTGTAACGGATTAACAAAACTCAACAAATCTTTAGTAGCTCAACATGTTCTCACCTGAGGACTGAAGGCTGAACGTTATCTAAATGTAATCACGTTGAACGCAAATCAGTGCAAAGATGTGATGTTATTTCTCGTGAAAATGTATTTCCTCATTTAAAAAAAGCAGCTTAAGACAAACCAATTTAAAGTATTTGATTTAAGAGAAATATTTGTAATCAATCAATATTCATATATAAATCAATACATCAATATGCATTTACTTTAATTTAAGACTAGTGTCGTTATAAAAGTGAGTTAATTAAACTAATTTCCATTAAGAAAACAAAGAATAACCTTTTGCATCTTCAGTGATCACAGAAGCTGTCTTAGTGAAACCTGATCTGGTGTCCCTCACTGCTGCTGCTGCTGCTGTGTCCTCACCTGAACAGATGAACAAAGATCAACAAATGTTTCACTTGCAAACTGTCTTATGGGCAATTTATATTGTGATATTAAAACTTCAAATAATTAAATAAGTACAAATAAATGAGTTAATTAAGTCACTTTGATTGGCTCAACATGTTCTCACCTGCGGACTGAAGACTGAAGGTCTGCACGTTGCCACCAGCTGTTACTTCACAAGAATATAACTCAGACCATGATGTGTTACTAAAATGAGAACTCGGAAATGTCACAGACTGTGATGTCTTTATATCTCTCTGATCTTTATCCACATCTCGACCCTGAAGCAGCCACTTCACTGAGTGTTCACACCGTCTATGTGTCGTCACAGAGCAGTTTAATGTCACCTCATCATTGTCCTGATCTTCAGTCACTGAAGATGGAGATATTGTGAGAGAAAGACAACAAGAGTACAAAAAACATCATCACTGTAATCATAATTATTGTAATGTTTCAGTGTAATCAGTGTATACGTCTAACCATAGAGTTTGGAAACATTATGATTGGAATACTCACTGGTAACAACAGACAGAACAACCACAGACACTGAATCTTGTTGTTCTGGTCCTGGTCTGATCTGTCTGCCGGTGTAATCTCCAGCATCCTCCTCTGTGACCTTCTTTATAACCAGAGAACAATTCTCTGTAACTCTCAGTCTGTCTGATTTAGCATTTTTACCAATCTGCCCACCTTTAACCAGCTCTACAGTGCTTGCTGAATCAGTAAAGTTCCAAGTAGTATCGTAACATTGGCGCTTAAAATGTTTCACATCGTTACAAGGCAAAGTGGCTTCATCACCAACTCTGACGGAGAGGGAGAGGAAACGCTGTCCGGTTGCAGCGCCTGAATAAACGAGAGAGACATGCAAAGTGTGAAGATCATTAAAGGCACAACAAAAGTTTTCGTAGGTGTAAAGTCGCCTTCCCCTCGTTAGAAGACAAACAGACTACTAGTCTGTCTGCTGAGGGTTAGTTATAAATAAAGTGATGGTAATGATAATAGAACACTCGTTTTTTTAAATGTTTTTGTTAGTCATACACACATGTTGGAAATCTTAATAGGAATCCTTACCTGTAAACTGAAGCAGCAGAATGAGAATACAAGACATTTTAATCTGTTTGAACTCATCCATCGTGATTCTCCGTCTCTTTGCTTCCTCTATCTCTTGTTCTGATGAAATGTTGATGAAATGTTCCTGAAACAATGCTTTAGCTGAGAGATGCTGCAACTCCTTCCTGTGCTAAGTATGATGCCTCCTCCTCAAAGTGAATTTATGTAACCGGTGTCGATTAGCGGTGTCTGCGTTGTGTTGATGTTGTAGATGGATGAGACCCGAGCCAGCATACAGTCGAGGCGATCTCCGTTTAGTCACTGACAATATACTGTCAGTGTTAAATTAGTTATCCCTCACAATGACTGCTCTCACGCAGAACATTCACAAAAAGGGAAGAGGAAACGTAGAACGTACCTGACAATATACAACAAATTAGTGTTCAATTAGTTATCCCTCACACTGACTGCTCTCACGTGAAACACATTCACAAAAGGGAAGAGAAACTTAGAACGTACCTGACAATATAAAACAAAATCAGTCGTTATTAAAAAAAAAAATGTTCATCACCAACTCTTCTCATGTGGAACATTCACAAAAAGGGAAGAGGAGAACGTGAGGGACACGCTATGAAGGGGGGGAAGTCCCCACAAACATAATCTTCTGTGTACAGTGACTGAATTTTGGAGGTTCAGCCCACTGATTCTAGACCAGTCAGGTATTGAACGTTTAATAAATGAATAACACAGAATTATTAAATACAAAACACAGAATTTGTGTGATTATACTAAATGATTTATAAAGAAATATTTAACACTAAATACCACTGCATATTTACAACTGTTACATTTAGACTATTTGGGGATGTTTGTCTTCATTTCTTGTCGATCTCCAAACAGCCTAACACCTTTTAAAGCGTTTTTTCTATAATTCAAATGTTTCTCAACGTCTAGATTCAATATAATCCCAAAACAATCAAATTATTTTAAGGCTCAATTTGAGTCTTAAGTTTACACTGTTTCCAGTCCCACAATGCACTGCAGGTCAAACAACGAAAAAATAACTAAAGGACTGAGGAAGGTGCAGGTGTGAAGATTGTTAGTAGCAACTTGATTTACAATTTAGAGGTGATTCATGGGGGTGTTTTACAGCACACATGAACAGACAGGAGAAGAGATAAAGTAACCTGAGTAATGTTTCTGTGCTTTCTCGGGTCACTTCTGGTGCACTTCTGTCTGTATTCGTACACATTTGAGTGCTTGGTGACAACAGAGCTTTTATACCCAACAGAGGGAAGGCTCACTACTAGAAGTGGAGAAGAGGAAGGAGGTTGTTTTATAAGTAGAGGCATGATATTCATAGTATTTACTTTCCTTTAAAACTTAGTTAAGGAATCACAGAACACAGTGTAGGTCTAAGAAAAATATTTATTTATTTGCACATTTACAGTATAGTAATTAGGACTCAATTCATGCTGAAAACTCATATGTTATGTTAACAGCAACGCTAAATGAAAGTGGATTAAAGTAAGTTACTCTGCACACAGAAATATTAAACTGAGCTAAATCTGCAGTAGCTTCAACAACAAGCAATACATCTTAAAATCAGCTCTGACATTTTCAGCTGGAAGACAATATAAGAAAGTAAACAAGCGTTAAAAACTCATTCCTGTTAAACTGAGATAAAATCCAGCTGCGTAATGTCATAAATTATACAATAGATAACTGAAAATGATTGTATAATCTTCCACTCCTGATGTGAAACACGATGATAGATGTAGACGTTGTTGATCAGTGGAGTCTGATGGAGGCAGAAGTGTTGCTCAAACTCCATCAGGAGGTCTGATGTTGTCATAGTTCACTGTACCATCATCTACATCATAACGCACCTGAGGAAAACAACAACAACTCTGACTTGGTTTAAGCACGTAAAATGATTTAAAAGTAAACACAGTTTACAGTTTAGTCAGCAGACCCTGAATGCACCATCAGTTCATCCCTTCCTCCCAAAAACCCTTGCACGCTTCATCCTTCATTGCCCACTTCCCTTCTTCCATTCATCCGTCTATCACTACATCCTGCCTTCCTGACATCCCTTTAAACATCCCTTAGATTCAACCTGGTCTCACCAGAATGCGTGACTCCACCACGACTCCTTAACACTGCATTGCGTGGTGGAGTCACGAACTTTGCTACATTTACGTGTCTGCACCACGCAAACAACCCCAATGTAAAGTGAATGAGGTTCCTTTGTCGTGGTGCACACACGCATTTCTACAACGTCCAGCAGTGAGCTTTTATTCTATAAAACGTTTTTAAAATCTACTGTATAGCTTGTAGTAACTCACAGGAGGCTTCTTTTATTTTATTTGTATTCATAATCATTTTTATTTTTCGTCAGAATGTATTATGGTTCATTATTCACCAATGTTTGTTCTCAAAAAAACAATGCATTGTGTGTAATACAACTGTGATTTTTATTAAATTAGTTCGTTTTTAAGGAAGGCCAGAGCTTCAGCTGTGTCAAAGAGATTGTTCCCTTTAGTTAACGTTATTTAAAAGATAATTATATTCCTATTTGATTAAGTCCCCTTTATTGTATTACGGACCCAAAGAGCTGAGCGTCCATTCCATTGGATAACAGAGCATTTACACCCGGAAGTAAGTATTCTCCTTACTGTCCATTGATTTTATTTACAGTGATATCTGCACTACTCATCAACTCAAAACACCAGATTATCCTTGTTAATTACACAACATTGATTGGTTTAAATTGTGTACAATGCTTTTGTATTTTCCCCTTTCGATTCGGAGAAACAAATATTTGTTCGTAGTGTGTGGATGGCAGAAGGCACTACACTACCCAGAATCCTCAGCTATAGGACTACACCATGTGCTTAGAACGTGTCCTACCCCCCCTTAGGTCACAGGCTCCTCAGTGCAACACAATAAAACAGATAGGCTACACAGAACAAATAGTGCAAGTAAATACAAAAAGAAAAATAGTAAAATAGTAAAAAGTGAAATAGTGCAATAAGAGTCTATATACAAGTGATTGGAATATGATATATTAGATAAATAATTTCTAAGTAGCAGCCAGATGAATGTTATGGATGTTGTTTCTAAGTTCAGGTGTTTAATAGTCTTATGGCCTGTGGGATGAAACTGTCCCTGAGTCTGGTGGTTTTAGTCCGGATGCTGCGGTACCCGCCTGCCAGACGGCAGCAGACAGAACAGTTTGTGGGGTGATGGGGGTCTTTTATAATCCTGAGGGGCTTTCTTTAAGGTTAACCTGGTATTTTTACTCCACTACATTTATTTTAGTTACTTTACAGATTTGGATTAATGATGTGAAATATAAACAACCCTTAAATCAGACTTTAGTTACACCGGAGTAAAATTCAGTGAATTCAGCCAACAATCAGGCGAGATATTGGTAGTGGGTGCTTGAGAAGACTAAATATGTATCTGCAGATCCCTAAAGCATATTCATTACTCGTTATTCTCTACTAATAGTTCATTAAAAAACTGTATATAATGGCTATTTGCACATCCCTTTCAAGATTTCAAGATTTTCTAAGGTTTATTGACATATCATATACACAACTACGGTGTAGTTATGCAATGAATGAAACACTGGGTCACAGGTTCATCAACAGTGCATCACAAGACATCTATCGATATCTGTGTACCTCCACCATTAAACATATTCTGCACATTTCTTATACTATCTACATACATCTTATAAGAGTATAATTAATATGTATAATATCAGTTAAAATAAGTGCTTCAACATAGTTAACATTGAAGGAAAGTTGATTGTCAAGTTCCAAAACAAACCATGCAATATATTAAACGTTAAGTACTTTGTCAGGCTTAATATCTGTAGATACCCCCAAAGCTTTTTTCTTATTTAAAAGAAGACCTTAACCTAAAGTATTCTTTAATGTTTAAATAAAGCCTTATAAGTTTGTCTGTGTTGCACATCCTCCTATCAGGCACTAAACTGTTTTATTGTAGAGATCACTTACAGTATCTTCTTGATATTTTCTATTCTATATTATTTATATCATTGACCTTCCACTTTCCACTATATTAAGAGTATGTACTCTTAATATTGAAATGTTTTCATCAAATATAACACATTCAAAAGTGCTTTACAAAAATGAAAGACATTAAGAAAAAAGGCATTTTAAAACAGTCAATAAAAAGCAACCCAATCTACCTGCATTGCATTACTCTAAACGTGTAATAACGTGCTTTAACCAGTAGGAGGTGCGGGTATAAAAAGCTGGTCAAGTTTACAGTGTTAACAAAATAAAATATACTGCTGTTTTCTGGTTTAGTTTACGACGGATATATTCTGTTATTGTTTTGATATTTGTAACACAAAGCGATGTAAAAAACCCACAGCAACACAGAAAAGATGGTCTTAACATGACCCAGCGGTCTAGTAGTTAATAAAAAACAATAATATCAAAACAAATTATTACTACTAACTTTATTGTGAAATTAAAATAGAACGGTAAAAGAATAGTTTCCGGTCCATTCTGAGGCCCGATCTCTGTAGATAAATAAAGAACTACGACAGATGTGTAATGTTTAAATGCAGCCAAACCATTCATTACAATGCATTCATGTGATGACTTTCAAAGAGTAAAGCAAGCACTGCAGAATAAAGTATGATTTGATCTTTGACGAAACGTTTTTTTCATTGGAATGCAGTTGGAGGTCAACCAATCACAGAGCTTGAGGCAAAACGGAACAATAGCTGAGGATTCTGGGTAGTGTAGTGTCTTCTACCATCCACACACTCCGAAAACATATTTGTTTTCTCCGAATCGAAAGGGGAAAATCCAAAAGCATTGTACACAATTTAAACCAATCAATGTTGTGTAATTAACAAGGATAATCTGGTGTTTTTGAGTTGATGAGTAGTGCAGATATCACTGTAAATAAAATCAATGGACAGTAAGGAGAATACTTACTTCCGGGTGTAAAATGCTCTGTTATCCAATGGGAATGGACGCTCAGCTCTTTGGGTCCGTAATACAATAAAGGGTACTTAATCAAATAGGAATATAATTATCTTTTAAATAACGTTAACTAAAGGGAACAATCTCTTTGACACAGCTGAAGCTCTGGCCTTCCTTAAAAACGAACTAATTTAATAAAAATCACAGTTGTATTACTTACAATACATTGTTTTTTGAGAACAAACATTGGTGAATAATGCACCATAATACATTCTGACGAAAAATAAAAATTATTATGAATACAAATAAAATAAAAGAAGCCTCCTGTGAGTTACTACAAGCTATACAGTAGATTTTAAAAACGTATTATAGAATAAAAGCTCACTGCTGGACGTTGTAGAAATGCGTGTGTGCACCACGACAAAGGAGCCTCATTCACTTTACATTGGCGTTGTTTGCGTGGTGCAGACACGTAAATGTAACAAAGTTCGTGACTCCACCACGCAATGCAGTGTTAAGGAGTCGTGGTGGAGTCGCGCATTCTGGTGAGATCAGGTTGCTTAGATTCTTCATCCCTCCCTCTCTCTACATCCCTTCATACGCTCTCCTCTGCTGCTTCAAAGGTAAGATCGCACACTGCCACACTCACAATTAGGTAGGGCCACACCTCATTTACTGATATCAAAATCCTTCGGGATCGCTTAAACAGATTTAGCGGGTCGTCTGAATTGAAACAGCAGTTAATTGAACCTGGTTCTTCAGGGAGTTAATAGAGGTGAGATCTTGCTGACGTTGGTGGATCTGAGACAAGCAGCAAACTTACATAGAATCAATGACTTCTGTTAGGTCAATTAGTAGGTCTGAGTAATTTGCCAGAATAAATGATCAGCCCTCCCGACTCCTACACTACATCCCTTCATCCCTTAATCCCTCTCTCTGAACATCCCTTCATCCTCTCTCCCAGTCTCCCCTCATCTCTTTCTATTTAAGTTTGATCTGATTCAACTGTTTACTGTCAAAACGTTTGTCTTCTTATCCATAAAACTTACAATGTTTTCATCCGTCTGAGGTCTCTGTCCTGAAGAGGCAAAAGAGCATCAATGTAATCTTCCATAGTTAAAATCCAAGTTCATCAAAAGCTTCTTGTTTGTAAAGTATAATGTGTGAATGTCCTCACCTTGAGTCCTCTTCCGTCTGATGACAGCCACAGTGATTATTGTGAGTGCTGCAACACCCACGATCACAACGATGATCCACCACCACCAACCTGGAAGAGGAATTCAAATCATAACATTTAGAATTTAATAAAAAAGTACTTTTTGTTGATGATACAGTTTTTCAGGTGTTTGTGTAACGGATTAACAAAACTCAACAAATCTTTAGTAGCTAAACATGTTCTCACCTGAGGACTGAAGGCTGAACGTTATCTAAATGTAATCACGTTGAACGCAAATTAGTGCAAAGATGTGATGTTATTTCTCGTGAAAATGTATTTCCTCATTTAAAAAAAGCAGCTTAAGACAAACCAATTAAAGTATTTGATTTAAGAGAAAGATTTTTAATCAATCAATATTCATATATAAATATATAAATCAATATTAATTTACTTTAATTTAAGACTAGTGTCGTTATAAAAGTGAGTTAATTAAACTAATTTCCATTAAGAAAACAAAGAATAACCTGTTGCATCTTCAGTGATCACAGAAGCTGTCGTAGTGAAACCTGATCTGGTGTCGCTCTCTGTTGCTGCTGCTGTTGTATCCTCACCTGAACAGATGAAAAAAACTCAACAAATGTTTCACTTGCAATCTGTCTTATTGGTAAAATATATTGTGATATAATAATAAAACTTCAAATGAGAGAAAGACAACAATAGTCCAAAAAACATCATCACTGTAATCATAATTATTGTAATGTTTCAGTGTAATCAGTGTATACGTCTAACCATAGAGTTTGAAAACGTTATGATTTGAATACTCACTGGTAACAACAGACAGATAAACCTGACAGTTTGGACCATCTTTCTCTGATCTAATCTGTCTGCAGGTGTAAGTACCAGCATCCTCCTCTGTGACCTTCTTTATAACCAGAGAACAATTCTCTGTAACTCTCAGTCTGTCTGATCTGATCTGCCCACCTTTAACCAGCTCTACAGTGCTTGCTGAATCAGCAAAGGTCCAAGTAGTACCGTAACATTGGAGCTTAAAAGGTTTCACATAGTTACACGACAAAATGGCTTCATCACCAACTCTGACCGAGCGGGAGAGGAAAAACTGTCCGGTTGCAGCGCCTGAATAAATGAGAGAGACATGCAAAGTGTGAAGATCATTAAAGACACAACAAAAGTTTTCGTAGGTGTAAAGTCGCCTTCCCCTCGTTAGAAGACAAACAGACTACTAGTCTGTCTGCTGAGGGTTAGTTATAAATAAAGTGATGGTAATGATAATAGAACACTCGTTTTTTTTAAATGTTTTTGTTAGTCATACACACATGTTGGAAATCTTAATAGGAATCCTTACCTGTAAACTGAAGCAGCAGAATGAGAAATACAGACATTTTAATCTGTTTGAACTCATCCATCGTGATTCTCCATCTCTCTGCTTCCTCTATCTCTTGTTCTGATGAAATGTTGATGAAATGTTCCTGAAACAATGCTTTAGCTGAGAGATGCTGCAACTCCTTCCTGTGTTAAGTATGATGCCTCCTCCTCAAAGTGAATTCATGTAACCGGTGTTGATTAGCGGTGTCTGCGTTGTGTTGATGTTGTAGATGGATGAGACCCGAGCCAGCATACAGTCGAGGCGATCTCCGTTTAGTCACTGACAATATTCAACACATCAGTGTTCAATTAGTTATCCCTCACAATGACTGCTCTCACGTGAAACACATTCACAAAAAGGGAAGAGGAAACGTAGAACGTACCTGACAATATACAACAAATTAGTGTTCAATTAGTCATCCCTCACAATGACTGCTCTCACGTGAAACACATTCACAAAAAGGGAAGAGGAAACGTAGAACGTACCTGACAATATACAACCAAATCAGTCGTTATTAAATTGTTTTTTTCCCTCTCACCAACTCTTCTCATGTGGAACATTCACAAAAAGGGAAGAGGAGAACGTGAGGGACACGCTATGAAGGGGGGGAAGTCCCCACAAACATAATCTTCTGTGTACAGTGACTGCATTTTGGAGGTTCAGCCCACTGATTCTAGACCAGTCAGGTATTGAACGTTTAATAAATGAATAACACAGAATTATTAAATACAAAACACAGAATTTGTGTGATTATACTAAATAATTTATAAAGAAATATTTAACACTAAATACCACTGCATATTTACAACTGTTACATTTAGACTATTTGGGATGTTTGTCTTCATTTCTTGTCGATCTCCAAACAGCCTAACACCTTTTAAAAGCGTTTTTTCTATAATTCAAATGTTTCCCAACGTCTAGATTCAATATAATCCCAAAACAATCAAATTATTTTAAGGCTCAATTTGAGTCTTAAGTTTACACTGTTTCCAGTCCCACAATGCACTGCAGGTCAAACCAACGAAAAAATAACTAAAGGACTGAGGAAGGTGCAGGTGTGAAGATTGTTAGTAGCAACTTGATTTACAATTTAGAGGTGATTCATGGGGGTGTTTTACAGCACACATGAACAGACAGGAGAAGAGATAAAGTAACCTGAGTAATGTTTCTGTGCTTTCTCGGGTCACTTCTGGTGCACTTCTGTCTGTATTCGTACACATTTGAGTGCTTGGTGACAACAGAGCTTTTATACCCAACAGAGGGAAGGCTCACTACTAGAAGTGGAGAAGAGGAAGGAGGTTGTTTTATAAGTAGAGGCACTATATTCATTGTATTTACTTTCCTTTAAAACTTAGTTAAGGAATCACAGAACACAGTGTAGGTCTAAGAAAAATATTTATTTATTTGCACATATACAGTATAGTAATTAGGACTCAATTAATGCTGACAACTAATATGTTATGTTAACAGCAACGCTAAATGAAAGTGGATTAAAGTAAGTTATTCTGCACACAGAAATATTAAACTGAGCTAAATCTGCTGTAGCTTCAACAACAAGCAATACATCTTAAAATCAGCTCTGACATTTTCAGCTGGAAGACAATATAAGAAAGTAAACAAGCGTTAAAAACTCATTCCTGTTAAACTGAGTTAAAATCCAGCTGCGTAATGTCATAAATTATACAATAGATAACTGAAAATGATTGTATAATCTTCCACTCCTGATGTGAAACACGATGATAGATGTAGACGTTGTTGATCAGTGGAGTCTGATGGAGAAAGAAGTGTTGCTTAAACTCCATCAGGAGGTCTGATGTTGTCATAGTTCACTGTACCATTATCTACATCATAACGCACCTGAGGAAAACAACAACAACTCTGACTTGGTTTAAGCACGTAAAATGATTTAAAAGTAAACACAGTTCACAGTTTAGTCAGCAGACCCTGAATGCACCATCAGTTCATCCCTTCCTCCCAAAAACCCTTGAACGCTTCATCCTTCATTGCCCACTTCCCTTCTTCCATTCATCCGTCTATCACTACATCCCTCCTTCCTGACATCCCTTTAAACATTCCTTCCTTCCCTTCATCCCTTTAAACATCTCTTAGATTCTTCATCCCTCCTCTCTCTATATCCATCCATTCTCTCCGTAATCCATTGATCCCTTCAACCCTTCCTCCCTACATACCTTCGACTCTTCATCCCTCCCTCCTTCCCTATATCCATCTTTCCCTAAATCCTTTCATCCCTTCATCCCACCCCTCATCCCTTTAAACCTTTCATCCCTAATTCCCTTTGTCCCTTCATCCTTTTATCCCTCACTATACCTACATCCCTTCAACCACCCCTCAATTCTTTGAAAACTTCTCCCTACTGTTGAGATCTCCATATTAGGTTGAATAATTAAAATGAAAGTTAATTATAATCAAATATAATCAATTATATTCTTGTATAACCCACAATGAAAATGCTTCATATTTTATGATTTTCTATATTTACAGTATAAACAAAACACAAGTGGTTTGTTAAATTGAGTGTGTAAGGCCTATTATGGTTTATGGGTGTCACTGATAAGAGAGAAGAGGCAGTTTCTTCCCTCTTACCTCACAGCAGTACACAGGGAGGGGGGCTCCTGACTTAAGGAGAAATAGACTGAGGCCCCAAAAAGGTGTTTGTGTCATAGCCGAGAATAATATTTTGCAAGTCCTGCAGAGTAGGGGTCATGACCTTTTTACACAAACATGGGAAGGTGTTTCTTATGCCATAGCCATAGAATATGTCCGGTCATGTCCAGTTCTTTACATCAGAGGCCATGCCCAGTTTCCACAAATATGGGTATGGAGGAGGTGTCTTTCGGTTTTTCTATCCTGTTTTTGAGCATAAAGACACTGGTGGAGAGGGAGCAAACGAGAGAGAGAGAGAGAGAGAGAGAGAGAGAGAGAGAGAGAGAGAGAGAGAGAGAGAGAGAGAGGGGGGGGCGGGGGTTCCCCTGGTATACTCTCTCCCAGTAAGCTCTCTCCCTGGAGAGCTGGGTTTTCGCCTCGGTAAGGTTCTCTCAAACTTGGTAACTATTGCTTACATCTCTGTGTATTGAATGCTGAGTGAATGGTTGGATGAAAGTTTAAAAAACTAGAATTCTAACTGATCATTCTGAGGAGCTCCCTCTTAATGTGTCAGGCTATAGGTTGTGGATGTTAGAACCTTCGATCCATGAGGAGATTCCTTTGGATTATGTCGGAATTCAATCTGATCATTTTGAGGAACTGCCAGTGAATGTGTCAGGCCATAGGGTGTGGATGTTACCCCGGCGATCTGTGAGGAAATTCCTTTGGATTATGTCGGAAGACTTTAATGTCTAAACTATGAATTAAGGTTTTAGATTAGAAAATGACCCCAGCATGATATGTTTAGAATGATTATAATGTTGTAAGGAGAGAAGGTAAAAACCCTATATAAGTTTGGACCATTTTTCTTCAAATAAACTGATCCCACCTTTTGGACTGGGACAACTTAAAAGACATCTGCGCTCTCCTCTCCTGCTTCAAAGTTAAGATTGCACACTGCCACACTCACAATTAGGTAGGGCCACACCTCATTTACTGATATCAAAATCCTTCGGGATCGCTTAAACAGATTTAGGGGGTCGTCTGAATTGAAACAGCAGTTAATTGAACCTGGTTCTTCAGGGAGTTAATAGAGGTGAGATCTTGCTGACGTTGGTGGATCTGAGCCAAGCAGCAAACTTACATAGAATCAATGACTTCTGTTAGGTCAATTAGTAGGTCTGAGTAATTTGCCAGAATAAATGATCAGCCCTCCCGACTCCTACACTACATCCCTTCATCCCTTAATCCCTCTCTCTGAACATCCCTTCATCCTCTCTCCCAGTCTCCCCTCATCTCTTTCTATTTAAGTTTGATCTGATTCAACTGTTTACTGTCAAAACGTTTGTCTTCTTATCCATAAAACTTACAATGTTTTCATCCGTCTGAGGTCTCTGTCCTGCAGAGGCAAAAGAGCATCAATGTAATCTTCCATAGTTAAAATCCAAGTTCATCAAAAGCTTCTTGTTTGTAAAGTATAATGTGTGAATGTCCTCACATTGAGTCCTCTTCCGTCTGATGACAGCCACAGTGATTATTGTGAGTGCTGCAACACCCACGATCACAACGATGATCCACCACCACCAACCTGGAAGAGGAATTAAAATCATAACATTTAGAATTTAATAAAAAAGTATTTTTTGTTGATGATTCAGTTTTTCAGGTGTTTGTGTAACGGATTAACAAAACTCAACAAATCTTTAGTAGCTAAACATGTTCTCACCTGAGGACTGAAGGCTGAACGTTATCTAAATGTAATCACGTTGAATGCAAATCAGTGCAAAGATGTGATGTTATTTCTCGTGAAAATGTATTTCTTCATTAAAAAAAGCAGCTTAAGACAAACCAATTAAAAGTCTTTGATTTAAGAGAAAGATTTTTAATCAATCAATATTCATATATAAATAAATACATCAATATGCATTTACTTTAATTTAAGACTAGTGTCGTTATAAAAGCGAGTTAATTAAACTAATTTCCATTAAGAAAACAAAGAATAACCTGTTGCATCTTCAGTGATCACAGAAGCTGTCTTAGTGAAACCTGATCTGGAGTCGCTCTCTGTTGTTGCTGCTGCTGTGTCCTCACCTGAACAAATGAAAAAAGATCAACAAAAGTTTCACTTGAAACTGTTTCATGGGTAAAATATATTGTGATGTAATAATAAAACTTCAAATCATTAAATAAGTAAAAATATATGAGTTAATTAAGTCACTTTGAATGGCTCAACATGTTCTCACCTGAGGACTGAAGGCTGAACGTTATCTACATTTAATCACGTTGAACGCAAATCAGTGCAAAGATGTGATGTTATTTCTCGTGAAAATGTATTTCCTCATTTAAAAAAAGCAGCTTAAGACAAACCAATTAAAAGTAATTGATTTAAGAGAAAGACTTTTAATCAATCAATATTCATATATAAATCAATAATCATTTACTTTAATTTAAGACTAGTGTCGTTACAAAAGTGAGTTAATTAAACTAATTTCCATTAAGAAAACAAAGAATAACCTGCTGAATCTTCAGTGATCACAGAAGCTGTCGTAGTGAAACCTGATCTGGTGTCGCTCTCTGTTGTTGCTGCTGTGTCCTCACCTGAACAGATGAACAAAGATCAACAAATGTTTCACTAGCAAACTGTCTTATGGGTAATTTATATTGTGATGTAATAATACAACTTCAAATCATTAAATAAGTAAAAAGATATAAGTGAATTACGTTTAAACAGCTGGTTCTCACCTGAGTACTGAAGGCTGAAGGTCTGCACTTTGCCACCAACTGTCATCACTGCACAAGTAAATAACTCAGACCTTTGTGTGTTACTAAAATGAGAAGTCCAAAATGTCAGAGAAGCAGAGCACACAGACTGTGTTGTCCTTATATCATTGTTGTCTTTATCCACATCTCGACCCTGAAGCAGCCACTTCACTTTGTGTCTACACCCTCCATATCTCGACACAGAGCAGCGTAACGTCACCTCATCATTGACCTGATGCTCAGTCACTGAAGATGGAGATATGTGAGAGAAAGATAATAATTAACTTCACCACTGTAATAATAATAATTGTAATGTTTTAGTATTTTGCTCTACAGAGAAAGTTTGGAAACATTATGATGTAAATACTCACTGGTAACAACAGACAGATCAACCTGAGACTCTGGACCTTTGCTTTGTTGATCTGTATGCAGTAGTAACTACCAGCATCCTCCTCTGTGACCTTCTTTACAACCAGAGAACAATTCTCTGTAACTCTCAGTCTGTCTGATTTAGCTCTAGCTTCTTCACCAATCTGCCCATGTCTAACCAGTATTACTGAGCTTCCTGAATCTCTGAAAATCCGGGTAGTACTCTCACATTCATCCTGATCATGTGCCACATACTTACACTGAAAAGTTGCTTCATCTCCAACTCTGACAGAGAGGTAGAGGACATGATGTCCAATTGCAGCTCCTGCATAAACAAGAGGTAATTATAAAGAATACAGAGGAATACAAATGTTCATTTAAGACACAACAAAAGTTTCCCTATGTGTCTAAAAGTTGCCTTCCCCTCGTTGGAAGACAAACAGACCACTTCTCTGTCTTGGTTAAAAGGAGGTTAGGTAATAAAGTAATATAAATGATGAATAAATTACCTTTTTGTTTCTAAATGTCATATACAGTACATGTTGTAGGAATCCTTACCTGTAAACTGAAGCAGCAGAATGAGAAATACAGACATTTTAATCTGTTGGAACTCATCCATCGTGATTCTCCGTCTCTCTGCTTCCTCTATCTCTTGTTCTGATGAAATGTTGATGAAATGTTCCTGAAACAATGCTTTAGCTGAAAGATGCTGCAACTCCTTCCTGTGCTAAGTATGATGCCTCCTCCTCAAAGTGAATTTATGTAACCGGTGTTGATTAGCGGTGTCTGCGTTGTGTTGATGTTGTTGATGGATGAGACCCGAGCCAGCATACAGTCGAGGCGATCTCCGTTTAGTCACTGACAATATACTGTCAGTGTTCAATTAGTTATCCCTCACAATGACTGCTCTCACGCAGAACATTCACAAAAAGGGAAGAGGAAACGTAGAACGTACCTGACAATATACAACAAATTAGTGTTCAATTAGTTATCCCTCACACTGACTGCTCTCACGTGAAACACATTCACAAAAAGGGAAGAGGAAACGTAGAACGTACCTGACAATATAAAACAAAATCAGTCGTTATTAAATTGTTTTTTTCCCTCTCACCAACTCTTCTCATGTGGAACATTCACAAAAAAGGGAAGAGGAGAACGTGAGGGACACGCTATGAAAAATAATCTTCTGTGTACAGTGACTGAATTTTGGAAATACAAAACAGAGAATTTGTGTGATTATACTAAATGATTTATAAATAAATATTTAACACAAACACCACTGCATATTTACAACTGTTACATTTAGAATATTTGGGATGTTTGTTTGCCTTCATTTCTTGTTGATCTCCAAACAGCCTAACATCTTTTTAAAGCTTTTTTTTCTATAATTCTCAACGTCTAGATTGAATATAATCCCCAAACAATCAAAGTATTTTAAGGCTCAATTTGAGTCTTAAATGTTTCCAGTCCGACAATGCACTGCTGGTCAAACCAACAAAAAAAGAACTAAAGGACTGAGGAAGGTGCAGGTGTGAAGATTGTTAGCTAAGATTACCGTTTGCAGTAACGCAACTTGATTTACAATTTAGACGTGATTCATGTGGGTGTTTTACAGCACACATGAACAGACAGGAGAAGAGATAACCCTTAGATGCATAAGTGTGTCTTTTTTGACCCGGTGAGGTGGTTTTCTTAGAGTATCTTTGTAATTACATTTTTTTATCATTTCATATTCCAGCTATTCCTCAAAAAACATGTTTTGGATATCACGCCATTCAAATGTTTAATTTACATTCTATACATTTTAAGAAATTGTAGTTTTCGTATTACTACCCCAAGCTTCCATAAGTGGGTATTTTTTGACCCGGTGAGGTGGTTTTCTTGAAGTATCTTTGTAATTGCATTTTTTTATCATTTAATATTCCAGCTATTCCTCAAAAAACATGTTTTGGATATCATGACATTCACATTTTAAATGTACACTTTAAGAAATTGAAGTTTTTGTATTACTACCCCAAGCTTCCATAAGTGGGTCAAAAATGACCCGCATGCATTATCTATGGAATTTCGATTTTTTTTTTTCAAAATGTAAAAAGAATGTCTAAAATTATAAATAGTGAAAAATTAAAAATTAAATATTTCTAGTGTGAACCAAAATATAATACTAAATATTATACAAGTGATTTTTCTTAACCAAAATGACAAAAGTGGCATAAAAACACATATTATTCTAATACGGGTCCTTTTTGACCCACTTATGGAAGAGTGTAGGGTCCAGTCACTCGGGCATCTAAGGGTAACCTGAGTTATGTTTCTGTGCATTCTCGTGTCACTTTTGGTGCATTTCTTTGCTTTGCTTTTATATCCAACAGAGGGAAGGCTCACTACTAGAAGTGGAGAAGAGGAGGGAGGTTGTTTTATAAGTAAAGGCATGATATTCATAGTAATAATTTATTTTTAAAACTTAGTTAGTACATGAAGGAATCACAGAACACAGTGTAGGTCTAAGATAAACATGTCTTTACTGGCACATATACAGTATAGAAAACAGGACTCAATTAGATTAGACTCAATTAATGCTGAAAACTAATATGTTATGTTAACAGCAACGCTAAATGAAAGTGGATTAAAATAAGTTATTCTGCACACAGAAATATTAAACTGAGCTAAATCTGCTGTAGCTTCAACAACAAGCAATACATCTTAAAATCAGCTCTGAAACATAAGAAAGTAAACAAGCGTTAAAAACTCATTCCTGTTAAACTGAGTTAAAATCCAGCTGCGTAATGTCATAAATTATACAATAGATAACTGAAAATGATTGTATAATCTTCCACTCCTGATGTGAAACACGATGATAGATGTAGACGTTGTTGATCAGTGGAGTCTGATGGAGGCAGAAGTGTTGCTCAAACTCCATCAGGAGGTCTGATGTTGTCATAGTTCACTGTACCACCATCTACATCATAACGCACCTGAGGAAAACAACAACAACTCTGACTTGGTTTAAGCACGTAAAATGATTTAAAAGTAAACACAGTTTACAGTTTAGTCAGCAGACCCTGAACGCACCATCAGTTCATCCCTTCCTCCCAAAAACCCTTGAACGCTTCATCCTTCATTGCCCACTTCCCTTCTTCCATTCATCCGTCTATCACTACATCCCTCCTTCCTGACATCCCTTTAAACATCCCTTCAATCTTTCATCCCTTTATACATCGCTTAGATTCTTCATCCTTCCTTCTCTAAATCCCTTAATACATTCATCCCTTCTCTCTGTAATCCATTGATGCCTTCAAATCTTCATCCCTCCCTCCTTCCCTATATCCATATTTCCCTAAATCCCTTCATCCCACCCCCTCATCCCTTCAAACCTTTCATCCCTAATTCCCTTTGTCCCTTCCTCCTTTTATCCCTCACTATACCTTCATCCCTTCAACCACCCCTCAATTATTTGAAAACTTCTCCCTTCATCCCTTAGTCCCTCTCTTTGAACATCCCTTCATCCTCTCTCCCAGTCTCCCCTCATCTCTTTCTATTTAAGTTTGATCTGATTCAACTGTTTACTGTCAAAACGTTTGTGTTCTTATCCATAAAACTTACAATGTTTTCATTCGTCTGAGGTCTCTGTACTGAAGAGGCAAGAGAATAAATCTTGAAGGAATGAGGGTGAAACTTTGAAACGATGGGATGTTGATAATGTGATGATGATTATGAGTGCTGCAACCCCCACGATCCCAACGATGATCCACCACCACCAACCTGGAAGAGGAATTCAAATCATAACATTGAGATTTGAATAAAAAAGTACTTTTTGTTGATGATACAGTTTTTCAGGTGTTTGTGTAACGGATTAACAAAACTCAACAAATCTTTAGTAGCTCAACATGTTCTCACCTGAGGACTGAAGGCTGAACGTTATCTAAATGTAATCACGTTGAACGCAAATCAGTTCAAAGATGTGATGTTATTTCTCGTGAAAATGTATTTCCTCATTTAAAAAAAGCAGCTTAAGACAAACCAATTTAAAGTATTTGATTTAAGAGAAATATTTGTAATCAATCAATATTCATATATAAATCAATACATCAATATGCATTTACTTTAATTTAAGACGAGTGTCGTTATAAAAGTGAGTTAATTAAACTAATTTCCATTAAGAAAACAAAGAATAACCTTTTGCATCTTCAGTGATCACAGAAGCTGTCTTAGTGAAACCTGATCTGATGTCCCTCACTGCTGCTGCTGCTGCTGTGTCCTCACCTGAACAGATGAACAAAGATCAACAAATGTTTCACTTGCAAACTGTCTTATGGGCAATTTATATTGTGATATTAAAACTTCAAATAATTAAATAAGTACAAATAAATGAGTTAATTAAGTCACTTTGATTGGCTCAACATGTTCTCACCTGCGGACTGAAGACTGAAGGTCTGCACGTTGCCACCAGCTGTTACTTCACAAGAATATAACTCAGACCATGATGTGTTACTAAAATGAGGCCCCCTGACTTAAGCACACTGCCTTGGACAAAACCCCATGTGCATAACTGCCAGACAAGCGTGCCCTTGGTAACCTAAAAATATGAAAAGTGTCTGAGTGTCAGGAGTCCGCAGTTGGATGCTTAAGGGCGGACGGTAGACCACCACAAAATCCACCCCTTGTTAGTCTTACCAGGGGCACGAGTTTCTGGAGGGTGTGAATATCTGGGTTTAGTTCGTGGGGGAGTGCTTAACTGCGGGGGCCCGGGGACTCATGGTGTGCAAGGTTATGGAGGAGTGCCACTGTTAGGGACTCATGCTGGAGGTCTCCTGCATTTAAACAGATTCACCAGTTTATAACATGACTTTAGCCCTGATCAGAGCCCTGTTTTCTGGGTAAGACAGCGAGGTGCTGTACCCTGGGTCTTTGGGTCTATGGGTCTCTGAGACCCTGCTAACAGCAGTGATTCTGCTGTTTTTAGCTCATTGTACATTTAACTAATTAAATATGATTAATATGTACATTATCCCGTCTATACTGACACATTTATGTCCATAACTCTGTATGTTTATTGAGTCCAATGTACACCGTCTAAAAACGACAATTATGACTGAATTAAAACAGTTTGACAGCATTTTAACACTCATGTAGCCATGTTTGCAGCCCTGTTCCCTGGGTAACAATTGAATTACCCTCTCCTGTTGAATTAAAACATTTCCCACGGCTTTAAAACACCAATATACCCATGATTCAGACAATTATTCCTGGGTAAATGTGTTATCTTTTCACCCTGGTCCTGAATTAAAACAGTTCCCCCGACTTTAAACACTAATGTACCCATATTTTGCCCACTTATTCCTGGGTTAATATTTCATCTTTTCCCCCTGGGTGTGTGTGGCACCATCTGGTGGAACATTTGTGAATTACACTAAAATCCAAAACTTTAATGTTTTTTATCTTAGCGAAAAAATGGTTTAATGACCCCAATGTAATGATCATTTATGATTCTGCAGACGTTGTCTACACGTGTATCACAACGGCTTATTTGTAGAGTGATTTGGAAAGCTCGGTTAGCGAGGTTTATTTTTGTCTATATTAGATGCACTGTTTTCATGTCCCATGTACATGTCTGTACATATGGCCTCACGTACTACTAACAGAGAGTAAAGTAACGCGTTACTTTATGTAGAGAGTAACGAAGTGATGTAATATATAACGACCCTCTGTTCATCCCTTACATTCTTCATCCCTCCTTCCCCAAATGCCCAGTGGCGTTTTCTCCCGGAGGCCAAGGGAAGCCAGGCTTCCCCTGTTTTTTCGGATTGTAGTTATAATTTAAATAAATAAATAAAAACACTTTGTTTTGTTTCGATAATTCTCCTTGCTGTGTGTTGCTGCCGGCCCGTCTCTCCTCCACTCTCATTGAGTATTTTACAAAGAGTGAAACAAACAGCGCCCCTCTAGATGTTATGGTGAAACAGTAGATTGCATTCACTGTTGCGAGAGGAGGACAGTCGGATCAGGCTTCCCTTGGTGAAAAAAATTGAGGGATTGACCAATCAGATGAGGCCCACGTGATGCCCCTGCCAACCTGTGATTGGTCAGGGCCATGCGAAGGGAAGCCAGCTTTCTCTGGCTTCCCTTGATTGATTGAAAAGTTTATTAACAGCTTGTATATTGGGTACAGTACAGTACAGCTCAAAACATACAATTGTTAAGGGGATGCAGACCAGAGAAAGACTTTCGTCTTGTTTACATCAGGGTCCCCCATTTCCAATTCATCATCCCTTCAGAAGCGGATGGCGATTTCACCTGAATAGATGAGATTGTTTATATTTGTTAGTTACTTTTGGACTACGGACTGAGCTAATTACAGAGACGAGGACTGTTGCTGCACTTGCCGTGTGTTAGAAAGGGAAGGGAAGAGAAGGTGGACTCTCGCATGCAAATGTTTCTGTACATAATTGTTTTTGAATTCATGTGTTTCATACACGCCTACTGATACTTTGATGTGTACATACAACTTTAAAGGTCTCCTGATTTACTTTGTGAATGAATGCTTCTTTTTTATTCATTACCGAATCTGCACTGCGCATTGAGCGGCTGGTATTGCATTTTGGGGGGGGGGGGGGGGGGGGGTGTGTCTGCATAAATTAATAAGAAAATGCTTAAATTAATAAAACGAGAGTTTCGGCTGGAGAGTGCGTGCGGACCTGTCGGTTAGATAACAGGCGTGTGCAAGTCCTGCATCTGTGTGATACAAATGTGTGTAAAATGATACCGGGCGCTGTAATCACTCATCTGGTTACGTTATTGACCACCCCCCCCCAACCAACCCAAAAAAATGGGCTTCCCCTAAATTTTTCCCGACGCCACGCTACTGCAAATGCCTGAAACACTTTTTTCCCTCCCTCCCTACATCTTTTGACCCTTCTTCCATTCATCCCTTCCTCCCTACATCCCTAATTCCTTATTCTAATTCCATTCATAATAGACCCTCCCTCCCAGTGGCGTTTTTATATGTACAAAAGTGGTGGGGCACAAAAAACTTAGATGTCTATATATAAGCTTCTGCAGTGACGTGCAGTGAGGTTCATGGCTGGTGAGGCACTGGCACTGACTCTTCAGGTTTACAAATATTATATTTTGACCTAAACCAAAATATAATATTATTTTCAAAAGCTTTTTTTGTCTGATGCTTCGATTAATTTTAAACAGACAGTTCAACAAAAGGATACCCAAAAAATGTCATTTTATCATTTAAATATTGAATTGTTCTCTCTTAGTAAGATCCCATTTTCAATAAAATGGCGGTCTTACCTTGACTTGAAGATGAAGTCCATTTGCCTATCCTTCTGGACAAACATTTCTATTACTTTTTTGTAAAAGTCCTCCTTATGTTCTTGTAGTTTCAAAAGTCTATCATAAATCTAATCCATAGATTTATGATAAAAAAATTATATAAGTAGGGTAGACATGTGGATGTTATCCGGCTAATCAAAACGTGCATTTATCTAACAGGTACGTTTCCCACAGATCTTATTTCGAGCTATTTTCTAAAATCCTCTGGAGAAATCTCATTGCTTTTTTGTGCTTACTTCCTGGTTTTAGGACGCGCCACTGCAGCTCTCTCGTCTCCTCTTCACACAGCACACTTTTCGCGGCACACGTACTTACAGCCAATCAGCTCTGAATGATTTGAGATGACGTATGGTGGGGATGGTAGCTCCGTGCCCCTCTGGTCATTATTTTTTTGCCACACACATTTCATTACAAAATACTCTGAGCATGCGCAGTGAAGTTTTTACAGTCACCGTTGACTTCACAGCGAGAGGAAGGGGCATAATCAGGTTTTGTCCCACATGGCTCTAAACAGCTCAATAGGCACACACTGTGACTGTAGACACACTAATTAGAAGAACACAGACTAAAACAGCAATGTACAGACGAATCAGATCAGAATCAAACATGATCTTAAAATATATTTTATATTTTTTTTTATTTTTTTTTTTGCATTTTTGTAATCATTATTTGTAATACTTTCTGCTGACACTAGGTGGGGCTGTGCCCCACCTGCCCCTAATGACCAGTCGCCACTGCTCCCTCCACATTTCCCTTCATCTATTAATTCCTCCATCACTACATCCCTTGCCACATCCCTTCAACCCTTTATTCCTTCCTGTCTCTCCTCATCTCTTCCTATTTAATTTCGATGCATCTGTTTTGTCTCATTCCAGGTATTGTTTGGGGCTCGAATAGAAACCCGCCTGTGAGGTGTTTAATCTCAAAAAAATTACTATTTCACATAAACCTCTGGTTTTTACTGGGGCTGGAGCAGTTCAACTTGATTTTTGGGGGGGGGGGGGGGGGGGGGGGGGTGCGCCATAGTTTATGGGCGCTGTACGCATTATCTGCGTAGTTCTGTTAGTATAAGATAATAAGATGTACTTTGTTGATCCAAAATCGGGAAATTGTGTTGTTATGAAATCTAAAAAAAAAATTGTATTTCACTATTTTATTTGTATTACTTGTGTGACGACCCCTCCACACCACTAGGCGTTCCGTGGTCTCTCTCTCTCTCTGTTTGCAGGTTCCAGTGCTGTGGGGTGATTGATTGATTGATTGAGGACTGACGAGCTGCACCTGAGCAGCCGCTATGAGACAGCCCATCGCGTCTCGGGAGGGGCTCTCTCATTCCTCTGGGCACTCTCTCCGTGCCAGCCTCGGGGGACCTGTTGCTGGCTTCGTTCGTTACATCAGTACTTGTTTGTTACATTGTCAAACCTCGTCTCGACTCTCCGGTTTATGGTATAGCCCCTGAGCCGGACCGTAACACATGGGGGCTCGTTGCTTTGAACCTGGGAAAACGTTTGGTGAATGGATGTCCGTGGTTGGGGACGGACTACGCACAGCTGTTGTCGCTTAGTGCGGCTGATTGTTTGGGAGTAGCGGGACGAGGGTAAGTGCTTTGCAGTTTCGGTATGATAGGTGAAGCAGTTGTTTTGTTGTGTCGCCATGCTCAATGTAAAGTAAAGTTAATGCACGGGGAATTTATTTATGGCAGCGAGTACAAGCACAGTCACTTTAGTTACCGTTGGTTTCAACAGTAAGATTAGTAGTCATATTTCGTGAACCCTTTGAAGAGTATGGTCACATGTGACCGTACTCTTCAAAGGGTACCTACTGTATACCGCTATGTATTGCTAATGCTAGCTAGTTCAAACTACCCTTACGAAAAAACACTATAGTATTACTATTAAGAATTACTATAGAAATACCACAAAAAACTGCTATAGTATTTCTATGGTGTTTTGGGACACACTATAGAGAATTACTTTAGTAATACTATAGAGTTGGCTATGGTGATCTTATAGTGAAGTTACAGTTATACTATAGTGTTTCCTGTAGTATTTCTATGGTTTTTCGGCCACTATAGGAAATTACTATAGTTATACTATTGAGTTTTATGTAGTATCACTATAGTGCTTTCTATATTATTTCTATGGTCTTTTGGAACAC